ACACACACACACACACACACACACACACACACACACACACCATCCTTAACATGAAGTTGAGCTTGTAGGCGCTCAGCACTTGCCTTTTGTTCCTCATGCCCTGACAGAGTGTAAGAGTTCCCAAAACTCAGACATTCGAAAACCAGGAAGTGCAGCGTTAATGTGGCACTTCCCACACACCCCAACAGCACAACCCTAACTTAGCCCTTATGGGCACAGCAGTAGGAACTAGGAATATAACAGTACCATAGCCCTCAATATACAAACCTACCACTTACACTGTGCCCACCACAACTCCAAATCAGCAATCTTAGTCATACAGTTCCATGGACTATCACCATGCTGTGTGCAGACTATTGGTCTGGGATGTATTGCTGCTGGTCGGCAGATGCTGAGGGAGGTAAGGTACTGAGTTTGCCCTGATGAGCTCCTTAAGGAAGGGATCAAAGAAGTTGTAGCCAAGACTGGGTGGCTGTGTATAGGAGGAGCACAGGGCAGTACTAAAGGCCTAAGACCTTAAATCCCTGTTAGTGAAGTTTTTTGTGTGTGAATTACAGAAGTATGTGTGGACCTGAAGCTCACAGCTGGTGAGGACTATGCTGTAGTGCTGTGAATGAGCATGGAGCACCATCTGGACTAAAACAAATGCAGTCGGGGAAAGGAGAGAAAGTGAGCTCCTCATCTCTCCTAGTCCCGAAGAAGAGTAAAGGGGAACCTCCCCAGCCTCCCATTGCTTCTCACTTGACTCCCACTGTAATCAATCCTCAGCCATCTAGGCCTGTGGCAGGATTCAGAGAAGAACCTCCTGCTGCTCCTCTGCACCTGTTTGGCTCCTGCAGCTGCTTCTCACCTCCCAGGCTATTGGGAGGGAGACCCTCAGCAGCTGCTCTCTGGCTTTATGGAACAGATGGGAGTTTTCTCCTGGCCCCAAGGATGGTCCCGCCGAGTGCAGATTTCTCTGTATCATCTGTGCCTAGCACTCCCTGGTACCATCAGAGTTTGGCGTGTGACGCGAAGACTGCCCTTCCCCACTCCCACCAAAAGTCCCCATGCAAGCGTCCTGGGAATTGAAGATCGGCCCCTTCTCTCCCATCTCCTGGCCATCTATAACAGCAACAAAAGCCCTTTCACTGTGCTTTGTGCTCAAGGAGACTCCCTCTTCCGATATGCCCGGGCACCTGCTGTTGCTTCCTGGCTCTGAGCTCAAGAACAAGTGAAGATTTTCTTACCCCTGTGGTTCCCCTCTTGGCCAGGCCACTCCACAGCACTGTGGAGAGTTTCTGAGGGTTGCTGCCACACTTCACTTTAACATATATTTATGTACCAATATATTTTATCATTTTACATATATTTAATATATGAACTAGCACTATGCTATGCCCTATCCTCACCCCCCTGCTGCTCTCATTTTAGGTCTTGGAGCCCCTTTTATAGGTTCTTCTTTTCCTGCTTTATTTTTGAGCAGGAGGATTGATGTAGAGAGATCAGTGGCATCAGCTGACACACTACACACGCTATTACCAGTCATAGCACATATGTTCTTAGGGCTGGTCTACACTGGGGGGGGGGGGATCGATCCAAGATACGCAACTTCAGCTATGCGAATAGCGTAGCTGAAGTCGAAGTATCTTGGATCGAATTACCTGGGGTCCAGACGGCGCGGGATCGATGGCTGCGGCTCCCCCGTCGACTGCGCTACTGCCGCTTGCTCTGGTGGAGTTCCGGAGTCAACGGTGAGCGTGTTCGGGGATCAATCGATTGCTACCCGCCGATACGGCGGGTAGTGAAGACGTACCCTCTGATTACTTAGGTTTTGTAGCACACTGATCAATTGGAGACTGGAGGGAAAAGCAAAGATTGAAAGTTTTATAATCCTTTTAAATTTCACTGAAAAAAAATCAAGTGTAAGGAACTTTAAATGGCCACATCTGTATTTAACAACTGGTAGAGATTCAGGCTATGTCTACACTGGCACTCTCGTTGTTAAAACTGTTGTCACTCGGGTGTAAAAAACCACCCCCCTAAACGACAAAAGTTTTAATGACGAAAAGCACCGGTGTGGACAGAAATTCGTCAGCAGGACCCGTGCTCCCGGTAACGAAGGTACAGCCCCTCGTTTGAGGTGTTTTTATTTTGTTGCCGGGAGAGCTCTCTCCCAGTGATAAAGAGCAGCTACACAGTGCACCTTACAATGATGCAGCTGCAGCAGCACAGCCATGCCATTGTAAGGTGCGCAGTGTAGACATAGCCTTAATCTACTGTTTTCCCTTTCTTGTAAATTCTCACTTCTCAATTTCTTCTTTTCATGTTTGGTCTTTACACAAATACGAGTTGCTTTGGATAGATTGCGTAAAATCTGTTGCTTTTTTAAAAAAAATTAGATAAGCAGGTGAAAAAAAATTATACTTCTGTTTTTTTTAAGTAAAAAATCAAGCTTTTGTTTACAAGTAGCTTGAATGGCTGAACTTTAAAATCTCCCAGAACTTCACCTTTATGTGCAAGAGTTGTTTGGTAAGCATGATTGAATGGATTTTGAAATAACATAGTAGTGAACAACTGTAAACTTGCTTTCATTGTAAACACAGTAAAACAATTTTATTAGGCTTTAGTTTCATAATTATCTGCAACACTTTAATGTTGCACAGATCTGAGTTATGTAATAGCTGTATAATGCTGCTGCTGCAGATTTTTGTGTAACTATCATTTGGTGCAGTTTAAGACTTGTGGAGTTGTGCCAACACAGTTGTGCAACTCTATAGTGCCATAGCCTAAGGCACTTTGCTTTATTTTTATTTTATGTTAAAAAAAGAGAAACAAAATGCAAAAAACTACAGTAGTGCTAAATTAGTTACATTTTCCTTATTTGCATTCAAAGTTGCAAGAGTAAAGGTTCTAATAGCAAGGTTAACTTAGCCACATCTCACACAGTATTTTTTTTATTACTTTTTAGATAGTAGCTGCCAGCAATCTCAATATAGTTGGGACTTCTCTACGATTTGCACACCCCTGACACATGGTTTCAGTTTTGAACAAAGTCCTGGGGACTATGCCACGTCCATGGCCACTGAAGTCTTGGAAAGATTCCCACTGATTTCAGAGGACTTGAATCAAGTCCTATTTCAGTAGCAGCTGGGGGTTTTACTGCAGTACTGACATAGCTGCGAGTTTGGGATGCATGCAGGAGACTACTGTGCCCTTTGGTATCTCATGTGCCTAGTGGTGTTGGTAGAAAATTTAGCTTCCCCCCTTCCCCCCCCCCCCCCCCGAACAAAGAGTTGACAGTATACACACCTCTGTCAGGTGAGTTTGAAGTTCCCATATACCTGATACAGGCAGAAAAGTTGGGTGCAGGCTATATGGTGAGTTTTGTCGTATGAATAGATATACTATTTTAGTTCCTAAATACAACATGGGAACATTTATATCTCTCTTCTTCAGGCCACCACTGTAAGTTGGACCCATGCCTTTCTAGGTCTGTGAGCTACCTTTGATTGCGTTGACCACAAGGTGTTGCTGTGGTCACTGGCAGGGATGAGTGACTTCTTTTCTGGCCAAGAGAGCACAGAAAGTGGTGCCTGTCTGCCTCAAGGGTCCTCTTGTGTTGGTTGCTGCAGACTTCTATCTCATGATGCTTCTTGCTCAGCATATTTGTGAGGCCTCTGTGGGATACATTGAGGCAACATGAAGTCTTATATCTCCAATGTGCAGATGACTGTCAGTTTTATGTTTCCATTTCATTTGAGTCCAGCTGATGCAGTTAATTGATTTTCTTAGTGTTTTGCTGCTGCTGCTTGAGTTTGGATGGGTTCAAGATGGTTGAAACACAGCCCCAGCAAGACTAAGGGGACTAGCCAGAGCGATTGGTATAGAAAATAACCGTCTCAAATGGAAGACAAATGCCTTTTGTCGTTCAGGTTTTCTTCCTGAGGTCTTGTTGGATCCACCGCTGTTTCAGGATACTGAGTTAATATCAGCGGCCGAAAAACCTATTTATTATTTGTGTTTGGCCAGAGGGAGGTCAGGTCCTTTTCTTTTATATGTGGAGCTTACCATGGTGATCCATGCCTTTCTCACCTCCAGATGGATAAATGTAATATATATTGCATGAGCCTACGCTTTAAGCGCCCCAGAAACTTTAACAAACTGGCCATCGCATTTTGCACCAGGTAAAGGGTGTTTCCTTCAAGGACTCCTTTTACACCTATGTTCCCTGATTTGCATTGTCTTCCAGTTTGATTTTGGGATATAATGTCAGGTGTTAATTTTTATCCTTAGCCTTAGATGGGTTGCATCTTGGATCTCACAGAGATCACCTCATTCCTTGCATGTAATTGCAACAGTTGAAATCAGAAGTGCTTAAGTCACAACCCATTAGTTTAATTAAGAAGATGCTGGAGGCAAGGCGCTTTTGCTGTGGTCCCTGTCGACTTTCAAAGCCCATTTGTTCTGCCAAGCTCTTTTTGGTGGGGAAGGTTAAATCTATGTAATATTTGTATATGCACTCAAAGCATGGGAATTTGTTCAAGAATTCAAATAAACATTGCAAAAGTATTACATGACAGCTGAATAAAGCTTAACTGATATATCTAAGAATACCATTGGCTGGTTTAAGATATGGTCTCATTCTGTCTTTGCATATTGCCAGCAGAAAGAACTCACATCAAAGAAAAGGGATGAGTTTGAAGATATCTTGGAGGAGAGACGGCAGTCCAGTGACCTGCGATATGCAATGAAATGTTACACTCCTGTCATTTACAAAGGACTTTCAGCTTGCAAGCCAAGTGCCATTAAAGATAGTGTTCTGCAGTCTGAGCAAGTTCAGTATGTTATCAAACAGGTGAGACCGAACACGGAGTCTCTAATTCGTAGTAGGTGAAATCCAGATAGACATTGTGTGGGAGGAGGGGAGAATCCTTTTTCTGATCTCTGTCAAACAGGTTATTTGTTGTTGGAAAGACCAGTAAATCAAGAACTTGAACACTACACTTTGCTAGCAGGCAAAATAAATACATTGATTTACCCGCAGGGGTATGGTAGATGATCTCCAAGCAGTGTTTTGATTTTGCAGGCATGCCAGTATGTTGCACTGTTTATCCACTCTGCTTGACTTTTTTTATGGGTCTTGGGAAAAAGCAACATTATGAAATGCATAAGCATAGATTTTAATGTAATTTCCTAGCTTTCTTTAAAGGAGAATGGTAAAAACAAATTGGAATTTTTTTTTTAAAAACAACTGTAACAACTCCTTCCCATCATGCATCATCGTCGTCGTCAGGTTTTGAAGCCTGAACTTTCAGAATTTCAGCACAGCCTGCTACTGCTTGAGCTACAGGACTCACTGCATTAGCTGGCAGCAAGAGAAGGCAGTTATCCCAGACTGGGGTGGGCTGCTGGATCCAGGAGACTGTCAGTGGGAACCTGGCTTGGCTGCCTCCCTCCCACCCCTCCTGAGAAGTGAAAGGAATTCCTGCCCTGTCTGGTGCTCCCGGGTGGGGTAGAACACTTGGATAATGTATTAGTTCCACGGAGGAGATGGTAATAAGAACAAATGGCAATGTAGGGGAAATGGCAGTTTTTAACACTTTATAACTGCTAACCAAACAAAGGGTAGGAATAAATGGTCACTTTTCACAATGGAGAGAGATAAATAGAAGGGTCTCCCAAGGATCTGTATTGGGATCTGTGCTGTTTAACATCTTCATAAAATAATACGTAAAAGGGGATGAACAGTGAGATGGCAAAATTTGTAGATGATACAAAATTACACCAGGTAGATAAGTTCAAAGTTGATTGTGAAGAGTTATAAAGAGATCTCACTAAACTGGGCAAAAAAAATGGCAGATGAAATTCAATGCTGCTAAGTGCAAAGTAATGTACATTGGAAAAATAATCCCAACTATATGTACAAAATGATGGAGTTATCACGCAAGAAAGAGATTCTTGGCGTCATCTCGGCTAGTTCCCTGAAAACATCCGCTCAGTGAGCAGCAGCAGCAGTCAAAAAAGCTAATCGAATGTTAGGAACCATTAGTAAAGGGATGGGTAATAAAACAGGAAAGTATCTAATGCCACTCTATAAATCCATGATATGCCCACACCTTGAATACTACATGCAGTTCTGGTTACCTCATCTCTGTACTTTTTCCATTTCTAATATATTATTTTCTGAGAAGGGCAACAAAAATGGTTAGAGGTATATGGAATAGCTTCCATATGAAGAAAGATTAAAAAGACTGGGATTGATCAGTTTAGAGAAGAGATGATTAAAGTGGGTTATGAAATAGGTCTATAAAATCATGAATGGCATGGAGAAAGTTAATAGGGTAGTGTTATTTACCCCTTAATGTAACACAAGAACTAGTGGTCACCTGATGAAATTAATAGGCAGCAGGTTTAAAAGAAACAAAAAGAAGTACTTCTTCACACAACTTGTGGAACTTGTGCCAGGAGATGTTGTGAAGGCCAAAAGTATAACTGGGTTCAAAAGATAATTAGATAAATTCGTGGAGGATAGATTCATCAATGGCTATTAGCCAAGATGGTCAGTGACACAACCTCATGCTCCACGTGTCTGTAAACCTCCAACTGCCAGAAGCTGGGATTGGATGACGGGAGGGATCACTCAAAATTACCCTGTTTGGTTCATTCACTTTGAAACATCTGGCACTGACCACTGTTAGAGACAGGATACTGAGCTAGCTGGACCATTGGTCTGGCCCAATATGGCCGTTCTTATATTAACCCTGCATGGAATTTCATGAGACAAAGAAAATGACCTTCTCTAGCTCAATGGCTTTCTCCCAGCTGCATTTTAAAGGCCTGCTGCAAACCATGGAGCTGTTAGTTTCTTTCTAAAAGATTCTTGTGACTATTTTTATAGTGGAAAGTGTTAAGCAGCTGAAACATAAGGGTTACTTACCAGCTCCTCCTCTAATTTCAATACCATCCCTTCAGGAGGGCAAGCTGCCAGCAATGCTGAAACAAGTGGTGGTGAAGTCCTTGCTCAGAACCCTCCACCCTCTCCAAGCACTTGGTATGTCTCCACTGCAGCTGAGAGCAATCCTCCCAGCCCAGGGAGACAGACTCACACTAGTTCTGCTTGAATTAGTGAACAAAAAATAGTAATATGGAGGTGGTGGCTTGGGCTAGCCACCCAACCTCAGACCCAGGGATCGGTGAGCTTGGACTTGGGCGGCTACCCCTGCTGCAACGTCCAGGTTGCTACTTTAGCATGCTAGCTTGAGCAGAGCTGGCATGAGTCTGTCTACCTGGGCTAGGAGGCATACTCCCAGCTGCAATGTAGACTTATCCTTGGAGGTTAATGATCTTGCCAGTTACAGTCCAGTCTCAAACATTTCTTCTTCAGACTATTGCAAGACGCTCTACTTGGGGCTGTCTTGGGAATATACCTACCAGCTACAGCTGGTGTAGAATACAACAGCCTCCTGTTTGAGTGGAGAAAACTTACTCACTTGAATGAACCACCCCACATCTTTGGAATTTTCTCCCCTGGCAATTTGCTGGAGCTGGTCTAGTAAGTTTCAGGATATGAGCTGAGTTGCATTTGTTTGATTTAGTTTTTGTATGATTTTTGTGGTTTATAGGGTTTCTTGTTTCCTAATTTTATGGAATAAGTATCTAGCTGCTGTAGGAGATATGCACTCTATACCTTAATAATTATTTATTCATGAAGGATAAGAAGTGTGCTGGTATGCATTTTACGAATGAATGAGAGGAAAGTGCCTGCCCTGAATAAATAATAAAAATATACTTCCTGTTAAATATTGATTTTTGTTTGGTGGGGTTAGAGAAGGCAGTAACTGGTTTCTTCTGTGTTGCTAAAATAATCAGGCTTTGCTAGACTTGAAACTATTCAGGATGAAATAAATTATGTAGAGAAGGAAGTTTGAATGCATCAATTTGACAGTGAAATGGCCACTTGATTGGGATGGAGGAGGGTGGGAGAAGAGAAATTTCTTGACTGTTCTAGAAGTGAAAACATAACTAATAAGGTGTACACCTCTCTAAGCTGAGACATGGTTTATTCACTGATGTTCATTGCATCCTCCATGCTTTTATAACATGCATCCTCCTTATTTAGTTGTTCAATCATAAAGAGTATCTTTTAGGTTAAATGTTTTTTGAGTCAATATATTGAATAAGGAGATTTCCACTCTCTAATTCCTTAGTAACAATCTCCCAAATGAAAGATTTGCAACAATTAAAACTGAACATCAATATGCAACATTTGTAGTGATGGTACTTTGTATGCATTTCAGCCAGCCATTGCCAAAAGGATACATTACAAAGAGGTGCATGAGTAATGGAGTTGATATCCCTCCGGTAACTCTAAAAACTCACTCCAAAAGCATTTTAAAACTTTTCTACAAATGTATCTAATAAGAATACTGGCTTTTTAAAATTAACTTTATTAATCAGTGAAAGAAGACCAAAGCATGCATTTGTCAGAAAGGCAATTTAATAAATCCTCTTCTAAAATGTAAGCTTCCTAAAAAAGATACAAATCTAGTAAACGTATATATGCCAATGCATTCTAATGGCTTATTATAAATATAAATACAGCCTTTGTATGAAACTTATGTTTCAGAAGATGATCACTTAAATTACTGTGTTTCAGAGGAGTTCAGGCTTTACTTTTTGTTGTTGTTGTTGAAATAAAACAGAACCAGTAACATTAGGTTTATGCCTGTCATATAAAGCAGAACCCACATTTCCCTAAAATAATGTTTGAAACATTTAGAATGTATTGCATTGCATTGCTTTAATACCTTTCTCTTAGTTTGACAGAATAATAGGTATAGTTTGTGGAACAGTCTTTTAAAAAAAAAATTATGGGAAATAACTTTTGATCTTATTGTTGCTTTTTATTTAGCTATCAAAAGAGATGGGTGAGTCCACTGATATTATACAAGAAGAAGCCATTGAAATCCTGGATGAGATGGGTCACAATTTACACATAGGAGTTATTCGATTTTTTGCTTTTAGTTTGAACAAAATATTTAAACGCCTTTTCCAGAAGGTTTGTGTGAATGAAGAAGGAATTCAGAAAGTAAGTATTGGTATAAAGGCTGACATAACTGGTGGTTATACTACTCACTCAGGCATAGACTCTCAGTCTGTACCCAAATTTATAGCTCCAAAAGATGTAAAGATAAAAAGTGGCAAGGCCTGTGTTAACTAGGATTATCCTTTTCAACAATTAAAAAGGAAGAAACCTAGATGTGAATGAAGAATTCAAAGGAGACTCTAAACTAGTAATTTCAGTACACAAGTATCACAGATTTAAATAATTAATGCATTTTATCCCATTGTGCAGAGCTACTAGATAGGCTTGTGACTGGAATAAATTTTGAAACAGAGAAAACAATAACCCCTAAAGATGACCTACAAAGATTTTTTTTTTAAATTGTGCTTGTACCCTTGATTGTGTATAAAGAAAGGCCTAACAGGGTTTTTTCTTGTTGTTTCCCTGGGAAATTTCAAGAATGTCAAGTCTGATCTTTCCTTACCCTCCCCCATGCCCCCCCACCAAGGACTTGTTGGCAGGCTCAGAAGCTGTGTGTGAGCTTTTGCATTTATTGAAATGGTGGGAGGAATCTTTATTGAAGATTTCCTTTCTCCAGAATATTAATTAGTCTTTGACGTTAAATAGTTAACAAAACAAAGACACCGTCTGTCTAAATATTTTCCTCCTCTCAGTTGTTCAGTTTTCACTCTTGTGATATTACCATTTTATTAGTTCTCTGGTCAGTATAGAGTCTTACTGAACAGGGCCTGAATTCCTAATTAAATTAAATTAAAATAAAATAGCATAAGAGTAACTTCTCTAGGGTGTTTGGGGGATGGGGAAACTTTATGAAAGAAGTGTTGTTTCTAAAAGGCATAAGCCCATTTTTTGTTTAATTTACTTTTAGTAGTAGGCACTAATAAAGACAGGTTCTAGAAGTAAAGTTTGGACCCATGATAAAGTGGGATATGGTCATAAGCACTGAAGAATGGGAAACATGGGAACCTGGTTGGAGTTACACCATGCTGATGGGTATATGGTATGCCTGAGAGAATAAGAAGCTAGCTCATCAATATGTATTTCAAAGAATTTCACTATAATCGATATCAATTATATCTAACTCAGTAAATATCCAAAATATATTAAAGCACTTCAGAGAGGTGTTGGAAGGAATAGAAAGTAAAGGTCATGTTTCTCCATATGTTGTAAGAATGCCCCAAAAATAAAATACTGAAATGTAGTGACTCATTAAGGCAATCAGAACACATGTGAAATGTCAGCAGTCTCCATGACTCATCTCCCACTATCCATGGGTCCTACTAGATTTATGATTAAAGGGGAGTTCTCCTTTGAGAAACTCTACATTGATACGGGGTCCAGTGCTAGTGTTACTGTAGCTCCAAGTTGTCTGTCAGCAAAAACTGAAAGAATTAGACTACTGATAAACACCAGGGCCACCCTCTAATGAAATTCACTATAATGTAAACTTAAAAACAAAAACCATTCTAGTCTGAGATCTTGTTGGAATTTGCCGTGATGGCTTCCATGAAAGGGGTTCCCATAAATATTGTTTGTGTTTGTTCTTAGTTACAACAGGCCATTCAGGAGCATCCAGTTGTCCTGCTGCCCAGTCACCGAAGCTATATAGATTTTCTGATGCTATCTTATTTGTTATACACATATGACTTGGCTCTGCCTGTCATTGCTGCAGGAATGGGCAAGTATTTCTTTTAACAATCCATTTTCAAGATGCAGAGATATTATTATAGCAGGTGCCTGGTACTAGCTACCACCATTAAGGTTGAAACAGTTTCTGTAATAATCCCCCATTTTCATATGGTTAAAACATTCTGAAAAGCTTCATTTGGGCAGATGTATTTGCCCAAATGGTGATTTTTTTTTTTTTTTTTATAGCACGTTTGAGCAAAACCCCACTAACTTCTCAGTAATGGTGGGGGGAAATATTTATTTCACTTTAAAAAGTTGCCATGTTTTTTCCCCATACATGCAGATAATTGAAATGGCTGGATTCTGAAACTTGGTATGTGAATATTACTTACTGAAGAGTACCTACTTGACCAACTTGGGGGGAAAATTGGTTTGGAGGAGGATGATTAGGCATGATTGAATACTGGCAGCTGCATATGTGCAGTAGAACATTTTCATATATCTATTTGCAGTTAGCTGTGCTGTGTGCGGCTTTTTTTTAAGTGCCCCTGTAAGCATCTCATCTTGTAAAGTGCCTTGCACCTTGTGCAAGGTGCTGACTGCTCCTGAGAAAAGTGAGGTTTTGGAAAAAATTTAATCTCTAATTGTGATGAAAATCCAAAATCTTGAAAATTTTTGTACAAATGAAATGCCAAGCTGCCTGGGATCCCTGGCTCCACAGCAGCCCGCCAGGCAAGCTGCTGTGGAGCCAGGGAGCTTGGTAGCTCTCTAGGTGGGTTGCTGGGAGTCTGGGAAGCCCTGAGAAGCAGGCAAGCTGTGGAGGAGGAGGCAGGAGCCTGGAAGTCCTGGAAGCCATGGCTCTGCAACAAGCAAACTGTGGAGAACTGGGAGCTTGGGCTCCCAGGTAGCCCACCAGGCAGGCTGCTTGGGAGTTGAAGGTGGGGGCGGACAGGCGAGCTGGCAGGGAACCACGTAATATTTAATTGGAAACCTGTTCTGATTTCTGTTAAGACTTGTCAAAATCAACACATTCTCACAGAACGTTTTGCTTTTGACGAATTAGCATTTTCCAGCAGAAAAAATATTCCATGAGAGAACTTTCAACAAGCTTTAGCTGAGACCTTATTATGCACTTTTCAGTATGTCAGTAGGTACCAATCAGTCTTAGGGACTTAACTTTGTGCTCTTCACATGCAAGGTGCTGTAGATGTGGCAATTACTTTATATATTAGGTATACACCTATCATTGTATGATAGGTGTGGTACTGTCTTACAAAGTTTTCAAAATTCTGTATTAGCTTAACTTTCCTTCCATTGAAGTTAATGGGAGCAGAGTTAGACCAAAATGAATGCACCCTAAATCACTTATGGCACTGCAATATACACTAGATTCTCAACTGTTTTAAGAACTTACTGTGCCTTACAACACACTAAAGTTTTAAGGTGTGTTAAGCACTAATGGTGATTACAGATTTTGTTCTTTATTAAACCTAAGACATTAAATCCCAAATGGATTTTTAATATGTTAAGATTAGTCACCAGAAATTAAGGTTGAAATTTTGAGCTGACTGTACTGCACGTGTATATGTTCTATTCCTCTCTTTCTTAATGTGTTTTTCTCATCGTTTACTCTGTACTGTACTATAAAGTTATACAAGATATTGACGGCAACCAAGTTCATGTTGCTGTTGGAACTGTAACTTTTGTATTTACTGACTTTGACATTCACTGTGCAACCTTAAAAGGTTCCCAAATATAGTGCGTCAGAGGAAGATTCTAGAATCTAACAGGTCAAACTTTTTTCAAACTGCATTATGTGGCTCCCCAAACAATTCATTGTTATATTGCAAGTGTTCTAACTAACTTGCCAAAACCCAGAAAGGGGTAATCCTGATTCCTCAAGACTAGGAAACACATAACAGCTGTACTTTCGAGTTCCTATTTTCCCTTCCTCATAAAGTTGATGAGCCAGATATCAACTATTGTAAATGGGCCTGGTTTCATTGACTTGACTAGAGCTAGGCCAACTGACATCAGCTGTGGATCTATTAGAATATATTTAAATGGACGTGTTGCTCTCTCTCAGGATTACTGAGGGTTTGTCTGCATTTACTGCACTGCAGTGCTTAATGAAGACACTACCTACACCAAAGGGAGAAGCTCTTCCTATCGGCATAAGTAAGCCACCTCCCCAAAGGCAGTAGCTATGTCAACAGCAGGAGCCTTCCTGTCAACGTAGTGCTGTGTGGGAGTGCAGTCAGTAGAACTGTGTTGCTCAGGAGTGTGGAAAATCCACACCCCTGAGCGACGTAGTTACACCGAGATAAGTTGGTAGCATAGACCAAGCCTGAAACTACTATGGACTTTGAGTCAGTATAACAATGACCAGATTTTCAAGTCTGATCATCTAAATGTCAGAAGAGATCATTGTGACTGTAAGTGCCCCTTTGCACATACAAATGCAGAATTCAAAAACTTGACCCACTGTTTGTAGATTTTTTTGTGTGTGTATGTGTGTGTGGTGCTCGAAAGCTAATAGAAGATATTTTCAATAAATCCCCAAAGGATTAGTCCTTTATGGCAATAGCGGCGGTCAGAGCTTTAGGGAAACTGATTAATATTAGGTGGCACAGTCAATCAATGAGTTTTGTGTTTGGTTTTTTCCCCACAGATTTCCTAGGAATGAAAATAGTTGGTGAGCTGCTACGAAGGTCAGGTGCCTTTTTTATGCGACGTACGTTCGGTGGGAACAGACTCTATTGGGCAGTTTTTGCTGAATATGTAAAAACAATGTTACGGGTAAATAAATTACTGAACAATTTTTTAAAAAGTACATTTTAAAGCATTAGTTGACCTTACTGGCACATGCGTTCTATGAAAGATACATTAAAGCGAAAAACTTTATTTGGTTAATTTAACTATATGCACTGGAGGTGATGGATGAATGTAGGTTTAGTGATGCTTGATGTTAGACTTGCGTGGCTCCCAGCTTAAAATAAGCCTTTTTACTATGTGGAGAGAGAAGATGAAACATTATCATATTGATTTCCCCTCCCCCCCCCCCAATCAACTTATTGTTTTGTTTTGTTTTGAAGAATGGCTATGCCCCAATTGAATTTTTTCTCGAGGGGACCAGAAGCCGCACCGCGAAGACTTTGACTCCAAAGTTTGGTACGTTGGTTGAAAAAGTTAAAATCTTTATTGAATTTGGGGATTTTCACTAGAGTACCTTATTGACTGGGAACATTTCACTTCAGGACGAAATGCAGAGATAAAATTTCTCAATACTTTAAATGATTGCTTCATGGAGCAGCTGGTACGGGAATCCACAAGGGGAGAGGCAACTCTAGATTCACTCCTGAGTGGAGTGCAGGAGCTGGTCCAAGAGGTAACTATAACAGGACCGCTTGGAAATAGTGACCATAATACAATAACATTCAACATCCCTGTGGTGGGAAGAACATCTCAACAGCCCAACACTGTGGCATTTAATTTCAAAAGGGGGAACTATGCAAAAATTAGGGGGTTAGTTAAACAGAAGTTAAAAAGTACAGTGACTAAAGTGAAATCCCTGCAAGCTGCATGGGCGCTTTTTAAAGACACCATAATAGAGGCCCAACTTCAATGTATACACCAAATTAAGAAACACAGTAAAAGAACTAAAAAAGAGCCACCGTGGCTTAACAACCATGTAAAAGAAGCAGAGAGAGATAAAAAGACTTCCTTTAAAAAGTGGAAGTCAAATCCTAGTGAGGCAAATAGAAAGGAGCATAAACACTGCCAAATTAAGTGCAAGAATGTAATAAGAAAAGCCAAAGAGGAGTTTGAAGAACGGCTAGCCAAAAACTCCAAAGGTAATAACAAAATGTTTTTTAAGTACATCAGAAGCAGGAAGCCTGCTAAACAACCAGTGGGGCCGTTTGATGATCGAGATACAAAAGGAGTGCTTAAAGACGATAAAGTCATTGCGGAGAAACTAAATGGATTCTTTGCTTCAGTCTTCACAGCTGAGGATGTTAGGGAGATTCCCAAACCTGAGCCGGCTTTTGTAGGTGACACATCTGAGGAACTGTCACAGATTGAATTGTCACTAGAGGAGGTTTTGGAATTAATTGATAAACTTAACATTAACAAGTCACCGGGACCAGATGGCATTCACCCAAGAGTTCTGAAAGAACTCAAATGTGAAGTTGCGGAACTATTAACTAAGGTTTGTAACCTGTCCTTTAAATCGGCTTCTGTACCCAATGACTGGAAGTTAGCTAATGTAACGCCAATATTTAAAAAGGGCTCTGGAGGTGATTTCGGCAATTACAGACTGGTAAGTCTAACGTCGGTACCGGGCAAATTAGTCGAAACAATAGTTAAGAATAAAATTGTCAGACACATAGAAAAACATAAACTGTTGAGCAATAGTCAACATGGTTTCTGTAAAGGGAAATCGTGTCTTACTAATCTATTAGAGTTCTTTGAAGGGGTCAACAAACATGTGGACAAGGGGGATCCAGTGGACATAGTGTACTTAGATTTCCAGAAAGCCTTTGACAAGGTCCCTCACCAAAGGCTCTTACATAAATTAATCTGTCATGGGATAAAAGGGAAGGTCCTTTCATGGATTGAGAACTGGTTAAAAGATAGGGAACAAAAGGTAGGAATTAATAGTAAATTCTCAGAATGGAGAGGGGTAACTAGTGGTGTTCCCCAAGGTTCAGTCCTCGGACCAATCCTATTCAACTTATTTATAAATGATCTGGAGAAAGGGGTAAACAGTGAGGTGGCAAAGTTTGCAGATGATACTAAACTGCTCAAGATAGTTAGGACTAAAGCAGACTGTGACGAACTTCAAAAAGATCTCACAAAACTAAGTGATTGGGCAACAAAATGGCAAATGAAATTTAATGTGGATAAATGTAAAGTAATGCACATTGGAAAAAATAACCCCAACTATACATACAATATGATGGGGGCTAATTTAGCTACAACAAGTCAGGAAAAAGATCTTGGAGTCATCGTGGATAGTTCTCTGAAGATGTCCACGCAGTGTGCAGCGGCGGTCAAAAAAGCAAACAGGATGTTAGGGATCATTGGAAGGGGGATAGAGAGTAAGACTGAGAATATATTATTGCCCTTATATAAATCGATGGTACGCCCACATCTCGAATACTGCGTACAGATGTGGTCTCCTCATCTAAAAAAAGATATATTGCACTAGAAAAGGTTCAGAAAAGGGCAACTAAAATGATTAGGGGTTTGGAACGGGTCCCGTATGAGGAGAGATTAAAGAGGCTAGGACTCTTCAGCTTGGAAAAGAGGAGACTAAGGGGGGATATGATAGAGGTATATAAAATCATGAGTGATGTGGAGAAAGTGGATAAGGAAAAGTTATTTACTTATTCCCATAATACAAGAACTAGGGGTCACCAAATGAAATTAATAGGCAGCAGGTTTAAAACAAATACAAGGAAGTTCTTCTTCACGCAGCGCACAGTCAACTTGTGGAACTCCTTACCTGAGGAGGTTGTGAAGGCTAGGACTATAACAGCGTTTAAAAGAACTACCATGAATTTATCCAGTTCTAAGTCCATTAATGGCTATTAGCCAGGATGGGTAAGGAATGGTGTCCCTAGCCTCTGTTTGTCAGATGGTGGAGATGGATGGCAGGAGAGAGATCACTTGATCATTGCCTGTTAGGTTCACTCCCTCTGGGGCACCTGGCATTGGCCACTGTCGGTAGACAGGATACTGGGCTAGATGGACCTTTGGTCTGACCCGGTACGGCCGTTCTTATGTTCTTATTGTCTTTATGTGCGGGGAGAGGAGAACCAAAACAATAGAACGTGGGAGAGGAGCAAGGTGGTCCAACATCTTCAGTGACCATGTGTAGTTGTGCGGCACCTCTGCGGGCCACATACAGAAGCAATAGGGTGTGCTTCAAACAGCAGAACATCACACATAAGGTGTGTGTGTGTGAGGTCACACTGCACAGAGGACACCATTTTGTAGGGCAGGTCTGTTGTGGAGTAGACAAATTCAGGAGCTGTATGGAATCATCCTGTAGGCCTCCAGACCAGCCTACTCTACTGGTTAGTGTTGTGTTGTATACATCCTGGCACAAGGGGCTCCTGGTCTGTGACTGCGACTGCTAGATGGTACAGCAATACAAATACTAGAAACGAACAAGATTCCTGGCTCTCACTGCCTCCCTGTGTGGCCTGAGGCAAATCACTTAACCTCTCCCTGCTTCCGATCTGCAATGGGTGTAACAACAGTTATTTATCATCACAGAAGTGTTGTGAAATTTAACTTACGTTTGTAGAAGTGCTGAGAGGTCACTGGATGGAATATGCTATGTGAGTGCAAAGCAGTAGTATTGTTGTGTAAATACAGCACAGGTATTTGATCAAATGTACTTTTCATTTGTATTGTTTTAAAGCACAGACAGCAACTTTGGCTTATGCTTGCATCTGCATAGTGTGAGCACAATGCGTATCTTATAACATAGTTTTTGTCTATTAGTACACAACCAGATGCCTCCTTTCAATTGCAATTTGGCTTAATTTCCTTTCCAGAAGACTCAGAATGTTGTTGTTGTTGTTGTTTTTCCCCTCTCACCCACCTATTTACAGGTCTTCTCAGTATTGTGATGGAGCCATTTTTTAAACGAGAGGTTTTTGACACCTACCTTGTTCCAATCAGCATCAGCTATGAGAGGATATTAGAAGAATCCCTCTATGCATATGAACTTTTAGGAGTCCCTAAGCCAAAAGAGTCTACATCTGTATGTAAATATATTCAATAATAATACAGTGTATTTGCCTGTCTGTATATCCCTGTAATATCAACTCACATTTTTCCCCTCTCCACACTTCAGGGGTTGTTGAAAGCCAGAAAAATCCTCAGTGACAATTTTGGAAGCATACATGTGTATTTTGGGCAGCCTGTGTCGCTCAGAACATTGGCCTCTGGGAGAATCGATCGGTGTCCTTATCGCTTGGTCCCAAGGTACCAGAACATCTGATCTCCCAATAGTTTGTGATCAGATCTATCATTTGTTTGTTTTTTGACTCATGTAAAATAGCTAAGGCTGGAGAGTAGCATTTTTCTTTTCATCTCCATGCTGTGAGCAGGTCAGGTTCTTTCTTTCTCCTCCCCTCTACTTGATCTGATTATTCTGGCAGCTCAGCCACGTTTCTGTAAAAGTCAGGAGGTGGTGTGACTCAAGTGATCAGGTATTTCTGAAGAAGCTCATTATTTGTTTCTTGTTTTGTGAATGTTGTTGAGTACCCTATTCAAGATTATGGTGATGTATGTGCCATGCTAGGCTCTGCCATTGAGAGCTGTCAGTAACTGAAGTATCTCAGTTGTTTCACCATTTCAAATCTTCCCCCCCCCCCCTCCAATTGCCGCCTTCATCATTGCAGACAATGTGTGTCCTTGTGTCAAGAAGTGGTAATTTTCTGACAAGATGAATGGTTTCCCAATTTGATATCTGGAATTTAAGATTTTCATGGCTTTTGTTTGAGGATAGCAGATGTTATAGCCCCAAGCATTTAGTGTCTTTATGAAGCTATTGTTTTAATGGCATTAAGATTTAACAAAATATTCCTAACTGTATTTTTATGAATGTTGCACATGCTGCACTAATATAACAGAAAAGTGGAATACTTGATATAGTATTGTGTTTTCCTACTTCATTTTTATTTGATTTAGAAAATGTTTGTGTATAGTATTGCAGGCAATCATATTATTAACCTTTCATGTCCTTGCTTCCAAAGACTGTCGGTATGCAAATTTTAACAACAGTATTTTGATCCTCAACATGTGACAAAAACTAAATTGCTAACCTCACAATCCTGCTCATTAGGAAAAATCCTGGAAGATAGTAATTCTTCTTCAAGTATCAGAGGGGTAGCCGTGTTAGTCTGGATCTGTAAAAAGCGACAGAGTCTCCTGTGGCACCTTATAGACTAACGGACATATTGGAGCATAAGCTTTCGTGGGTGAATATGACATGCGTCTGACGAAGTGGGTATTCACCCACGAAAGCTTATGCTCCAATACGTCCGTTAGTCTATAAGGTGCCACAGGACTTTTGTCGCTTCTTCAAGTAGCATCCCTCAGAGTGCCTCACATCAGGATATGTTCATGCCCATGCACTTGGATTGGAGACTTTTGTCAGCAGTGTCCATGGGTCTGCACCTGTGCCCTAGACATCCTTGTGCCTAGGCATATAGGCCCTTGTATGAGGGCATATAGGATGGGCATACCCACCATCACTCCAATTCTTTCTCAACCACCTGTAGCTTGAGATGGAGTGTCACTATGTCTGTCAGCTAGCCTCGTGGCTTGCAACGCCTCTCGTTAAAAATTGTCTTAATTTTCTTAGTACTTTTATTTGTTCTTTATTTTTAGCAGTTTGTGCTTTTAAAAGGGGGATTTTCCCCTTCCATTCTGTTTTTTTGCCTGATTTGGGCCTTTATTTTTCATGGGCCTTCATCCGTGGCTAAGTGTGGATTATGCCCAAGACCCTGGGCTTCAGGACCTGCCAGACCTCCTGCTGTTCTTTCCCACACAGTAGCAGACATTCAAGCTGCCTCGGGGAGTCTCTCCTCCTCTCCAAATGTAAGATCTGTTCAGATTTTTAAGAACAGATATGAGAAACTGATGGAGGACAGGCTCAAACTCGTATTTATTGAGCACTTGCGGAGACCCGCAGGATCAGAGTAACCCCTCTGTACACTGGATCCACAAAGAGCCCTGGTGACTGTCTCTACTGCAACAAACAGCAAAAATCCTGGCGGCCCTTCGGAACCATAAAAACAGAAAAGATCTGATTTTCCAAAAAGGGAGAAGAAAAGGGGAAAGTCACCCCTCAGGCTGGGTCTCAGGAGACCTTGCATCCCATTACGGGTACAGCTGAGGCTCCCATCCCCTCCAGTACTGAGACGGCACCAGCTAAGAATATCATGCCGCATATTGAGAAACTGTACCTGCATTGGCACCAGACTCTGTCTCTCCAAGACACCAGGACTCCAGAACCAAAGTTGAAATTGTCATCAGTACTGCCTCCAGCAACCAGAGGTGAAGGATGCCCCGATCATATTTTGGTAACATCTGCAGTACCACCGCACATTCTGGCTCCAAATGTTTCTTAACTGGAGCCCCCAGTACTGTCCAGTTTTTTAACCCAGGAAAACCCTCAGATCTTGGAGGAGCCTGAATCACCATTGCTGAGGGGTACCGAGAGACACTTCACACTGGTATTGTCTCACCTTCCAGAGCCTACTTACCCTATGTTACCCTCTTCAACTGTGTCTCACCCTCTGATACTGCCAGGGCCTCTGGTCCCTCAAAAATTATTTGAGGGTACACAGACACACTTCCGGTCGATACTAACTCAGCACTCTTCTCAAGCTCCAGTATCAAAGCAATTACAGAATCCCTTCCAGGCCCTGATACTGGCTTGACCACCAATACCAACACCATTTTCCCCTCCACTTAACACAGAAGATGACACTTCATCCGATTCAGAAGTGTCTATACAAGGTTCCCCTTTTCAACCTCCCTCACTTGAGGTACACCTTGATGAAAGTCCTAGTAGGGGATGCACCCAACAACCCTGGCAAGGACAACCATTGGGTCCTGCTCCCTTCCTTTGTGCTCCACCACAGTGGGCTTATTGGAACTGTTGGGCCCTTTATGGTGACCAGTTATACACGGCCCCATCTCATAAGAGAGCATGTCAAGAAAAACTACTGCCATCCTTGGGTCCTTCCACACAGCAGGATCTTACAGGGGAGCAAGAGCCAACTGCAGAAGAAGGAGCATCACCAAATCCTTCTCCTCACCAGACAAGGCTCTCATGCCTCCCCCACTGTCTTATGCCGACGATTTCAAGGGCTTTCAGGACTTTATGAAATTTACAGCTGAGACCCTGCACATTCTGTTGGAGGAGGTATAGGAGCCCCAACACTCCTTGCTGGACATTCTTTACACATCTCCTTGGCAAAATTGCCTTACCCATTGATGATACTCTTCTGGCACCTGCATGTTTTGTGTGGCAAATCCCAGCTATTATACTATCTACATGTAAATGGGCAGATAAAAAATACTGCATAGCACTCAAAGGATGGGCATGTCTCTTCTCCCATCCTGCACCCGTCAATGAGTAGAACAGACAACACCGGTTCCGTTCTATGCCTTCCAATAAAGAACTAAAAAGACTTGATCTTTTGGGACAAAAAAGCTACTCTTCTGCCATGCTGCAGTTCAGAGTAGGCAATTACCAAGCCCTGAAGGTGAAGTCCAATTTTTACAAACTATTTCAAATTCTCATCTTTTATTGAATATGTGCCACAGGATCAGAGGGAACAATTTCAAGCCCTCATAACAAGGCCAGACAATTTCCAAGGCATCTCGCCAGGCCTCACTTGATGCTGCCAACACAGCTGCTTGATCCATGGCTACGCCAGTTCATGCACCAAGCTTCTTGGCTGCAGTCCTCTGATCTGCTTCGAGAGGTATAAAATGCTATCAAGGACGTTCCCTTTGAGGGACACAAGTGATTCAGTGATACCACAGATGGCTCCCTTCACTCTTTTAAGGACTCCTGGGCAATGCTAGGACCTCTTGCCATCTGTACACCTACAGCAAAGGGAAAGTACAGTAGATCACAGATGGATCAATGCTGTCATCAGCTACACTACCAACTCGCAAGAACAACTGAGTCCCCCAGGAAGAAACCTAGGTTCACTAGGAAAGCGCCGTCTTCTGTGACCTCCCAGTCAGTGACATCCTCAAAATGACCATTTTGACCTACTGGTTGAGGGTCACCATCTTGCTCCTGCTCCACATTCTACATTGCTCATATCTCCTCTTCACTCTGATGGGGGACCATCTCTCTCATTTTCTGTCTTCCTGGGAGCTCGTCATCTCGGACAGATGGATCTTGGAAGTTGTATCTACAGGTTACTCCATCCAGTTCAGCTTTTCTGCTCCCTCGCCTCCTCCCTCCCCTTCTTCAGGGACTCCTCTCATAAGAGTCTTCTGAGGCAGGAGGTACGATCCCCCTAACACTGGGGCCGATCAAACCTGTCCCACCGGACTTCGTTGGGAAAGGATTCAATGTGATTCCTGGTCCCAAAGAAAAATGGGGTGGAGATCAATTCTGGATGTCAGTACACTCATCACCTTTGTCCACACGCAGCATTACAGAATGGTGACCCTAGCCGTGATCATTCCTTCTGTGGGCCTGTGGGATTGGTTTGTCTCTCTTGACCTCCAGGATGCTTATTTCCATTTAGCCATGTATCCTTCACCGAGACATATCCTATGCTTTGTGGTGGGCAGAGACCACTGTCGGTATCACATCGTACATTTCAGCTTTTTCACCGCTCCAGGAGTATGTACCAAAGTCTTATCTGCCCCCACAGCTCATCTTTGTCAGATGGGAGTAATCATTTTTCTCTACCTGCATGATTGGCTTCTGAAAGATCATCATTCCTCAAAGCTCAGACAGCAACCAGTAGGACATGATCTCTGTTCCACTGATTGGGCCTTCCCCTCAATGCGGAAAAGGCTACTGTCTCATTCACTCAATGAATAGACTTAGTCAGGACCACTCTGGACTCCTGTACTGCCAGAGCTTACCTGCCCAGGAGCAGATTCAACACTATGTCCAGCCTCATCTGAACAGTACAACAGAGCCCACAAACCACAGCAAGAGCTTGTCCTTGAGTTCTGAGCCATATGGCAGCCAGTACATTTGTAACATCCTTAGCAAGACTGCACTCCAGGTGTCTTCAGTTCTGGCGCTCAACCATTTACACACCCAACAGACACAACCTATACAAGCAGATGCCCATACCTCAATTCTCTAAACTGGTGGAAGGCGTGCATAGGAGTTCCATTCTGACAGTCCACTCCTTCAAGGATCATCACCACAGACACCTTCCTGACAGCATGGGGCACACACTTTCAAAACCTCATAAATCACGCCAAGTGGACCCCTCAGGAGGTTATCCTTCATATCCATGTACTAGAGCTCAGAGCGGTTTGTTGCATTTGCTAGCAGTTGTTTCCACACATCAGGGGCCACTCAATCAGAATAATTCTGGGCAACGGAGCAGCAATGTATTATCAATCGACGGGAGCAAGACCCTGGTCATTATCCACTGAATCCATAAAACTATGGAAGTGGTGCATATCGCACCGCATACAGATCTCAGCGGTTTATTTACCAGGGCTACAGACCACAGTGGCAGATTCTCTCACAGACACTTCAGCATCGATCACAAGTGGGAGCTGAACAATGAGGTATTTGAAGATATGTCTTACCTGGGGCCATCCACAGATAGTTCTCTTTGCAACTCAATCCAATGCAAAGTGCAGCTGATTCTGCTCAAGAGGAGGGTACAGCCGCAACTCAATGGGAGATTCCCTATTCATTTCTTGGCCTTGCGTACTGCTATATGCTTATCCTCTGACTCCCCCTCTCCCATTGAGGGGTTTTCAGACTTCACCCACCCAGCTATGATGAGGCTTCTCAAAGGTATCTTCAACCTCTTCCCTCCAGTTAAAGAACCAACTCCATCATGAGATGTCCTGGGACGTTAACTTAGTCCTCAGTGCACCGAGGAAACCCCCTTTTTGAACCAGTCAGGTGAACTGTTCCCTCCTCCATCTGTCTCATAAAACCTCATTTCTCAGCCAGGAGGGCAGGGGTGTATGGAGCCTTGATGGCTGACCTGCCGCACATGGTGTTCTTCTGTGACAAGGTAACACTATGTCCACACCCTCGTCCTCCCTAAGGTTTCCTCAGAATTCCACGTCAGCCAGGAGATTCACCTACTGGTGTGTTTATCCCAAGCCTCGCTCTTCAAGAGAAGAAATGAGCCTTCATACACTGGATATAAGAAGAACTCTTGCCTTTTTCCTAGACAGGATTAGGTCCTTTTAGGGCATTACTCAGGTTTTTTTATCTCAATTGTAGAATGTGTGAAAGGACAGGAAATTTGCATTCAAACACTGTCCAAAGGGGCTGCAGGATGCATCTTAACCTGTGACAAAGCCGCAGGGGTTTGCCCCCCTCCAAGAATTGTAGCTCGCTCCACCAGGGCTCAATCTATCTCTCGAGCCCTGCTGAGAAACACCTCTATCCAAGCCATCTTCAGGGCAGCCACCTGATCTTCAGTACGCACATTCTCCCAACACTACACTCTTGTGACTGCTCCCAGAGCTGATGCAGCTTTTGATGATGCTGTTCTGTGACCTGTACTAAATCCACCTTCTCGGCACCGTCCTCTGTGCTGGTACTGCTCAGGAAGGAGGAGAGGTTACTTACCTTGGACAGTAACTGGAGATGTGTCTCTCTCTTCGGGTGCTCCACTCCCCACCCTCCTTCCCTTCTACCTCAGAGTCTCATGTTGGACTTCCGTGGCTGAGAAGGAATTGGAGTGGCGGCAGGTCCAACCCTCCCTATATGCCCTTGTACCAGAGCACTATGGTATGTAGGGATTCCTGTTTATAGAGCGAGATCAATACTGTATCCTGGAGCAATTAGGAATCCAGTGAAGTCTTTGAGTTGGGGTACTGTGTTCCTTGTGTCTGGCACCACCAAATAGACTGGCAGTGGCAATCTGCATCAACTGTATCTTCCAAGTGGCCTTCAAGGAGAGCCCCACATACAGCATGTTGCAATATTCTAAACTAGAGGTCCCAGTGGCATTGGTAAGTGTGGAAAAGTCTGCACTGGAGAGAGAGAGAGAATCACAACTGCATTTCTGGATGCAGATGTAAGCAGGGTGGATTGATTTAAATCACCAAGTGGAGAGCCTTGATTTAAATCCATTGATGTTAATCAACTTTTCCATTTGTACTTCAGTGTTTTTTTTTTTTTTTTTTTTTGTAAAGGTGCATTTTCATTGGTTGATATAACCATTAAAACATGTTGATTTACAACTAAATAGAGCTTTTAGGTTAGATTTGGAACATCTTTTTGCTACTATACACTATAATTATATGCAATTTTATATGGCTTAATATTTTCAGATACTTAATTGTACATTTTTAGTATGTAAGATTTTGGGTACATAAACTTCTTATCAAAACATATATCACATGTAAAACTAAATGATTTGTTAAACAGAAAGATTAACTGTGGTCTGTGAATTAAACTAATTATTTCAGGTCAGCCTGGGAAAACTTTCAAATATGCCTAAGTGGAAGTGACTGGAGCTTAAGTTCCTACTTGCCTAAGTCGCTTGAAAATTAGACAGTGTCCTAAGTTACTTACACTGTCCTCCAGTCTTTTAAAACTAGTAGATCTCATCCCCTTCATCTTCATTTTTATTCATAGACAGGAAGAGAGACAAGTTTTCCTGCTTTTTGAACTGCCAATCGATTTTTCTCAACTTTGAATGAATTAGCGCAAATGAAGAAAATATTCTTTCTGTGCCTGCGGAAGCAGCTACTGCTGTCAATTGCTGGTTTAGCACTTCGACAAACTCTGGTTCCAGGTAGTTAGCTAGTGACTTCTCCCAGTTCAATGGTGTGACTGGCTCAGTTCTCAATTTAAAGAAAATCAGAGCTCAGGTAGAGAGAAGCTATAAAACAGAAACATGAGACCACCCAGGTGAGCTCAATGGATGATCCTGTCGAGATACGTGATGGTGCCTCCTGGAGTCAGAGGCCCTGGGTCACAATGCCGGTGATCGCTTTGCTAGTCTCTTGCACTCAGAAGTACAGCCCCTCCATCCCCCACAGGATCAAGCCTTTAATACGGTACATGACCTATTTATAACGCTTGACCTCAAAAGTTAGATTCCCCCCCCCCCCCCCCCATTCTCTTTATATCGGAAAAACAGACTTTAACTCAAACATTTTGATGAGGCTCATGGATTCAGCATATCCATTTTCTGTTTCAGTGTTTTAAGAGATTATAATAAATTTAGGCATTAATAATTTTAATATTAAATAATTTATTTTTGAAAAGAAACTTACTTAAATTTTTAAAAAATCCAATTAAAAAAAAATTAAAATCAATTCTCATCCACCCTGGATTTCAGTGTTTAGCTGCCCACTTCCCCTAAAAATCCATGTGAAATTGGATATTTAAAAGCACCTCTTGGGCAAAGAATGGATGAATCCCCACAATAGTGGGGAATACAGTTGCTATTCTGACCATCTAGATGCTTTTCCCCCTGCATGCTATCATCACCTCTGTCTTGTCTGGACTCTGCTTCCTCCAGCTCATATTCATCCATGTCTCTCTTTACCACACACAGGGAAAGCAGACACTACAGCTGTAAGGAGGAAAGATTTTTCTACTTTGCATGGGGCAGAAAGAACCTCAGGCCGACTCTGGAAATTTACTACATTCTCTTTACAAACCAACTTTGGCTTCCAATCATTTAGAGTGTCTAAAAGAGGTGGTGTGATGGGAGTGTAATGTAGTTAAGGAGTTAAGTGTGTGAGAGAGTGTTTGTGCAATAGAGCATTCTGGAGAGAGTGAAGAGTTTACCGTTGTTTAATACCCAAAATCAGAGCCCCATACATAATGCAAGTATGTAACCACGTTAATAGCTGCAAAATTTACCTTTTCCCACGGAGTTGCAGATATCTGTTTATATTGCATAAATCCACAAAAACAACCATTCTCCCTAAGCTGGACATAGAGTCCAGAAAGGCTCCCCTCCTTCTGAGCTGCTTTATCCTGGCAGGTGTGATATTTCTTTGCTATAATGCAAACAAATAATATGCATTAGCAATATATTTTCACATTGAATGGTATTTTTGGAATCTTTTCAATAAAGTGGAAGGTTTTGAATTATTTTTTGTAATCAGTTAACATAATTCTTGCTTAGATCTGGAGGCCTTGCTTCATAATTTAGGTGTCGTGTACTTGCATAATTGCCCAAATGTGTTAGGTGCTGAACTGTGGGTAAAATGGGCAGAAGAGTATCTACGTGAGAGAACATACATATATGGGTACAGTACAGGACTAATGGGATTAGGATATAAATTATATCCTAGGATGTAGAGCTTCTTCTTGCTCGTAATATATTTTGTTGTTTGGACTTTTCCTTTCAGGCATCTTCCCCAAAGGCTATCTGAGGATATCCAGGAATTTGTCACTGATGTAGCCTACAAAATGGAGCTTCTACAGATAGAAAACATGGTTCTGAGCCCCTGGGTATTAATTGCTTCTGTCCTGCTCCAGAATTTGCCAGCCATAGATTTTGAACTTCTGGTTGAAAAGACACTTTGGCTGAAAGGCTTAACGCAGGCTTTTGGAGGATTCCTCGAGTGGCCTGGTACGCGGAGAAAGTTATATTCCTTTTTCTTAGGAAAGTTACACTGTGAAGTGAGTTTTATTTATGTTGAAGCAGTACTAAAAGCCAAGCGTAAGGGTTTTAGTCCTGATCAAGAGATTTTGACTGAAAATCCAGTCATGTGGAGACAGAACAGATGTGCTACTTTTTTGAGGTGTGTAGGGGTAAAGAGGGAGAAACTCCAGTATATTATATTAAAATAGTGCTGAGATTTGCCTAATATTGTTTCTTTATCCAAACCCTAACTTTTGAAAGCACAGGTCACAGAACGTTATCTGAGCTGCAACAGGAGCTCAGTATAGTACTGAGTCTAAAGTTTGATATCCAGTGTAATGTAAACTGCCCCTGTAATCAAGAACCCTCCCAAACACATGCACAGAAAGTCACATTACAGCTTTGATTTTGATTGTTTTTCTCCTATTCCATAGTTTGAGAGCGTTTACGCCTGCCTCGGGGTCTGCTCCCCTGCCCAGTTCTTTAAATTAAGCATTCTTTATATTTAACCTCTCTCTTTAAAGTGGCTCATGATACTTCATATGGGGAGCAACTGAGAGCTATGCAAGCCAAAAAGATGATGGTAATCCAGTCTCATGCTTCAGTGTATAAGTAGTAACATACATAAAAAAAACTTCGTTTACGCTATATTATTAAGATGCCAGTTTTCCCTTTAAAATCTCTCAAATATAAACTATAGTCCAAGCAGGTCTTTACTCTAATGCTCATTTGTACATAATCAAAAGGGGGAATATTTTTACACACTGCAGGCAGGGCCGGATTAACTCTCCTGTGGGTCTGGGGCTATTAGATTTTGTGAGGCCCCCGTATACAAGTCTTTTTCCTAATTTAAAACAAAGTTATTACAATTATAGCATTGAGGCTATTAACACTATACTAAATTTGCCTTTTAATTAACATAAAGCCATTCTGTGGTTACATTTCAGTCTTAAAACATGTAGAATATAATTAAGTTAATTCAAAATAGCCTACTTCTTACCTTAGAACAGCTGTTATATTAGTTTCTTTCTGGGAGGGAGTTTGGGTGCAGGAGGGGGCTCCAGGCTGGGGCAGAGTGTTGGGGTACAGGAGCGGGTGAAGGGTGTGGGCTCTGGGAGGGAGTTTGGTGCAGGAGGGGATTCTGACCTGGGGCAAGGGGTTGGGGTGCAGGAGGAGGTGTGAGGTGCAGGCTCCAGCCGGGAGGTGCTTACCACAGGTGGCTCCTGGCCAGCGGTGCAACAGGGCTCAGGCAGGCTGCCTGCTGTTGGGGGTGGGGGCAGTGCACAGAGCCACCTTCTTCTCTTTCCCCCAGCCAGGGGCCACAGAGACGTGCCAGCAGCCAGTCGCTTCCAGGAGTGGCATGGGGCCACAGCATGCAGCCTGCCTGAGCCCTGCTCCAGTGGGGCCCCCTTTAGCCCGGGGCCCTGGACTGCAGCCCCTAAAGCCCCTGCATTAATCTGGCCCTAACTGCAGGAAAAATAGACCTACTACACTGTAACAGAACTCTGTCCATCACGAAAGAACACCCATCTCTCTTCCTTCCAGATGCTTTCAGTTGTTTGGCTGAAGGAAAGCTCTGCCTCTGCAAACCCAGTAAAAATAACTACCCAAATGGTGTATGTCCCAAACCAACAGCCTCATTGCAGAGTGAATTAAAGAATACTCCAAATTTAGGCATTTTGCAGGGGGTTGGTTTTTTTAGCAAACATAATGAATTTTTGTTTTAGTAGGATTAAAAGTAAGGCCCTACTTGAAATGCGGTATGATTGTCAAATAATTGTGGTTGAGTTGCAGACAAGACATGGAAAATTGTGGAAAGGTAATAATGGACCTTTTATTATTTGCAGTAATTTGGAAAAGCCAGAGTAGACCTATTTGTTTAAGAAAAATTTGCTGAAACTATATGAATACTCAAGTATTATGTTGCAAATTTTTTTTTATAACCAGACATTTTGCTGCAACTATATTACAGTCATGAATGCATGGAGCTGACAGAGGGAACTCCCACTGTCAGCTGCCCAGGGCTAACAAAATTGTGGTGGAAGCCTAATAGTGTGGGATCTACAATTTCTGCAATATCGCAGTTTAAGTAGGGCCTTAGTTATAAATAAGGAGACGATTCTGTCATGGATTCCATGACTTTCTGGGACCTCTATGACTTCTGGGCAGGGCCGCTGCAGCGTCAGCTCCATGGCTGCGGGAGCAGCAACTGCTGGTACAGCGGCCAGCCCCAAGGCTGCTGGAGCCATGGTCCTTGGCATGCCAGAGCAGTTGCTGGGGTTGGGTCAGCCCCCTTGGGGCCGGAGCAGCAGCAGTCAGCCTGTGCCACAGGAGCAGCAGTGGGACTGGAGCAGTCGCAAGCCATCGGCAGCGCTCTGTTTGTCCTTCCCTCACCCCCAGGGTATTTTTAGTAAAAAATCAGGGACCGGTCGCAGGTTTCTGTGAATTTTTGTTTATTGCCTATGATCTTTTACTAAAAAATACAGAATCTTAACCTTAGTTATAAATATAATCTGGGTACTGGAACATAAACATTTTCTTGTACATGAGCTCTCTAATAAATTTTGCTGCCATTAAAATGTTGTTGCACTTCTGCAAAGTGAAGCAAATACCTGATCTCACTTGGCACCACTAGATGCTACAGTAATGTAAATAATAAGCAATAACAATCTCTGCTGATGATCCTTCCCTCCCTCCAAGGGCTGTAGTTCATCAGGAATAAAGCAGATAATCTAAATTGCTGTAAAATGTCAAACAATAGATTCTCAATTTCCTGCTCTTTTTTTCCCCCCATCAGTTTATCCTTAAACTTGATGATGTGGTATTCTGGATTCTGAAAAAGTTCTTCCACTAGGTGTTTGTATCTTTGGAGACCCTGGTTGCTTTACAGAAGTTTTCAGACCTCCAGATGTGGTCTGAAATTCTGTGATCTGGAACACTCAGCAACCAGATTTTTTTAATATATGATATGACTAATATATATATGCATGTATATATTAGTCATGATGCTTTGAAGGTATCCAGGTGTTTAAGCAGCATTTGTGCAGCACATCAGCAATTTTTTTTTTAACAGATCAGCAGCGGTAGCATCCCAGCAGTCAAAAACTGTGATCCTAGCTTGGCTCATGGTACTCATCCCCTAGACCGTGTCAGCTAGTAGAGGTCTCTTTGGCTCCCCATGTTCTGTAAAACTAAATGGCAGAATCATTTACTGTTAAAATAAGCAGCCTATATTGTCAAAATGCAAGACAAAGGACTGACGATAGAGCAGATTCCACTATCTTGTGCTGGCCACTTTATGGGGCATGGTTTATGCTTAAATTTTAGGTTGACATAGCTGTCTCTCTCAGGGGTATGAAAAATCCTCATCCCAGACTGATGTAATTATGCTAATCTAACCCCCAGTGTAGACGCAGCTAGGTTGATGGAAGAATGCTTCCATCAATGTAGCTGCTGTTGCTCCAAGAGATGGTGTTCCTACAGCAACAGAGAAACCCCTTCCGTCAGTGTAGGCTCCATCTCTGCTACAAGGTTATGCCAGCATAGCCATGGTGATGTAGCTATGCTGGTATAGTCCCCCATAGCATAGACAAGCCCTGGGTATGATTATACGTTTGGGGTTTTTTATTAATTTGAAGTAGTTAGCACCTTTTGTAAAAACCAGTTTGGACACTCCATCAAAGTCTGTGGTTTGTAGTCTATGTAAACCACATAGCTCTTTCCCAACCCCACCCCAACTTTAGCTCCTAGTTGTTTGTGTTGGTCGTACTAGCTGTTTCTAATACATTGGGCTTATTTATCTATTGTTGAAATGTACCAGTGTGTAAGAAAACTATATCAGAGGATTGCAAAACAACCTATCTGCCTCACCACTTCTCACCCTGTTGAGCAACTTTAGTGCACTGGCAAAGTTAGGACAAGACACGTTGAAGCATCAGATAAGCCACTAGCTGCTTGGGGATAAATTGATTTTAAAAGAAACAAGTGTCCCCTTTTAAATTAAAAGACCCTTTTAATGTCCTGTAGATTGGCATGCACAGAGTCCTATGATCATATGTTTTACCTCTTCATGTTCAGTTTAAGGTTATTGTCTATTCTCTTGCATGTTAGTATATTCTGGTCAGACAAAGAATATTGTCTCATATTCTACATTGAGAATGTTTTGAAACAGTTAGTTTGATTACATAAATTAAAATATCTGAATTAGTCAAAGTAGAATAACTCAAGGTAAGCTTTGTGAGTGGAAGAGACTGTGCATATGCTGTATACTTTGGGTCTCATACCACAAGTTCTGGGGTGTGCTTATCTTAATTTTTTTTTTTTTCTTATCTGCTATACCCTCAGCTTTGCAAACACTCACTTATGTCTTTTGAATAGCGTTCTCAGTAAAACTGTTCTTGAAAAAGTGTGCCAGGGATATGTCTTATGAAGCAAGTAGAACTTTGAGCTTGGGTACAGTCTGTTAACTGTAAGCAGGTGTGTTATGCAATGATGGTTCCATTTTTACTTCTTTTAGTTTAAGGTGAGTGTGAGGGATCTTTGGTTTGTGGGAATTAAGGGAAACTTTGTCAAATCTCCTAGATCTGATTCAAAGGTTACAATATCAGAAGACTTCACAACAAAAGAATGGTATCTATCCAAAGTTATTTTAGCTGATCCAGTGTGAAAGATTGCTGTATCTAAAAAGCTTACCTCTCAATAACTGTTCTCTTTATCCTCTGTAGCTGTGGTCTACTTAGGGCAGGTCTACACTTACTTCCTGGTCTGGCCGTAAGCAATCGATCTTCTGGGATCGATTTATCGCGTCTTGTCTAGACGCGATAAATCGATCCCAGAAGTGCTTGCCGTTGATGCCGGTACTCCAGCTCGGTGAGAGGAGTACGCGGCATCGACAGGGGAGCCTGCCTGCCACATCTGGACCCGCGGTAAGTTCGAACTAAGGTACTTCGAATTCAGCTACGTTATTAACGTAGCTGAATTTGCGTACCTTAGTTCGAAGTGGGGGGTTAGTGTGGACCAGGCCTTAGTCAACCAGGCTTATTTGCTTAACATATCCTTACATCACTACTTCGAGGAAGTTTCTCTAATATAAATGTTCTTACAGATTGGATAATAATAAGCAGGTTCTTGAAAACTGTATCTCCCCTTCCAACCCCCTCCCCCAACCAAACTGGTATAAGGGTCTAACTGATAACTGCTTAGGAAGATGAGCCACTTGCAACGAGAGCTAGTCTTAAATCAAAATTCTCCTCTTAAATATTTATCCGTCTAATTTTGACATAACTTTCTCTCCTTTTGCGCGCAGAACTCCCACTGACACTAATGTAATATTGGCGCATGCAGCGGTAGAACAATATCTGAATTGAGATTAACCATGCAGATCTAAGAGGCAAATTTTGCTCTTACCTTCACAGAGGGATAGATGAGAATTAAAAATGTACATTTGCAGATCTAAAATAAATATGGTGAACAAAGCTATGAAATGTACCTGTCTAATAGTGGAGCTTTGTGTTCTCCATTGAGAGGTTCAGAACAGTGGTTATCCACTTTTGGTTGCAGGGAGGGAAGGAGACCACTTCCTATTTCCTGAGGTGATAAATAGGGCCCTACCAAATTTACAGCCAGGAAAAACACGTCATGGACCGTGAAACCTGGACTCCCCTTGTGAAATCTGTTTTGTGTGTGTGCTTTTACCCTATGCTATACAGATTTCACAGGGGAGACCAGCGTTTCTCAAATTGGGGGTCCTGACCCAAAAGGGAGTTGGGGGGGGGTCACAAGGTTATTTTAGGGGGGGTATTGCCACCCTTACTTCTGCGCTGCCTTCGAGCTGGGCGGCTGGAGGGCGGCGGCTGTTGGCAGGGTGCCCAGCTCTGAAGGCAGCGTCCCACCAGCAGCAGCGCAGAAGTAAGGGTGGCAATACCATACCATGCCACCCTTATTTCTGCAATGCTGCCTTCAGAGCTGGGTGGCCGGAGAGTGGCAGCAGCTGATTGAGGACCCAGCTCTGCAGGCAGCAGTGCAGAAGTGTAAAAGTGGCAATACCACAACCAACCCTCCCCCACACAATAACCTTGTGACCCATGCACAACTCCTTTTTGGGTCAGGATCCCTAAAATTACAACACTGAAATTTCAGATTTAAATAGCTGAAATCATGACATTTATTATTTTTAAAATCCTATGACCGTGAAATTGACCAAAATGGACTGTGAATTTGGTAGGACCCTAATGATAAGGTCTAGGTTGTAGTTCCAGGAATGTCTGAAATTATTCTCTCCACCTCACCCTATGCTTTTTTCTGCCTCTTTCCAACATGGATCATCCTGGAACAGTTTTCTAAGTGTTCCTAGAGGTAAAAATTGTTCTAGGTTGCAAAATGTAATGTAATATTATACATTCTGCACTTACTTTTTCCTTTAGCATTTGCTTGAGTGTTGTGTCTTTTTACTAGATAATCTATGTGCCAATAAAGCAGTCACGTCCAGCCTTGCCCTGCATTCCAACATTGTGAGCCTTGTCAATGGCCAAGTGGTTTTAAATGACGTGGGAATGGAGGATGGAGCTACAGAGGAGCTTGTTTTTAAACAGGCCCTCTCTATCCTCATGTGTGGAGCCTACAGGAACCAGTTGCTAAATGTGTTTGTGCGCCCATCTCTGGTGGCAGTAGCATTGCAGATGACGCAAAGTTTCAGAAAAGGTAACTTCATAATATTAACGTATTATAAAGGAGCTTGACCTGACTTTCAGAAGTGTTGGGCACCTGGAGTGCCTGCTGATGTCACGGGGTGCTAATCAAATTGAATACTTACACCAACATTCAGAATGAGGCCCACTGGGATCAGATTTTGTGATTTTTTTATTTTTTTGCAGCGTTTTTAATGCCCTGTTCACACTAGCACAAAGCTAATCCATTTTCACAGCCATGTTACAGCATTCCTCCGGGAACCACGGCAGATGTTTTTGCAATGTATTAAGTCACAGGACAAGGTAATGTGACTCTCATGATTCCTGACAGTATTTATACTGATTTGCAACATATTACTGACTTGAAAGTAGATACTCTACAGGCCTTTCTCTTGTTGGCATTCTGATTTGCATTTGGAGCTTGCCTGGGAGGATCAACTACTGCAAACAGTGTAAATAGTTTTCCACACACCAGTTGTGGTATATGGAACAGTATTTGAAACAAGATACTTTCTTTAGTAGGGTCTGAATGCTATTTAATAGGGTTGTGGAATAGTTTAGTATGGACGTGGCCTTGCTCTGACTGTTCAGGTGTTTTGAGTGTATGTACAGATACTCTAGCACATCCTAGATTTATTCCCATAGAGTGCAGTTAGTTGTAAAGCTCTCTCCATCTCCTTGCTCGTGTCCGTGAAATATTGTAGCAGTCAGTATTTTCCCTTGTTTAGTACTTGCGATAACTTTTTTTTTTTAAACAGAAAATGTTTGGTTTGGCAAAGATTAATTTTAAACATCTACAGCATTTCCTGTATGTTCAGGAGATTGCACAAATACAACCAACTTTTTCCCTTTTTTAAGATTAGTTGCATAAAGTATATAGATTATACTATTTCAAGTTGAATCAGTCTCTGTGTACATGCTCGTATTTTTTTTGTCCAAACATTTGTGCTAATAGTGCCCTGTTAGAAGTTTCCTCTTACACTGAAGGCTTTTCCCCCCCCCTTATTTTACAAATGACTTAAATGAACAATGTTATATCCTTAACCTTATTTCTTCCTTCTCCCCCTCCCCCCCACCCAGAGGAAATCTATAGCTGCTTCAACTTCTTGCGAGACATTTTTTCTGATGAGTTCATCTTCTTCCCTGGCATTGCACTGAAGGTAAACCATCCTGTGTAAATAAATAAGGGTACATACATGCACTTTTATCTGGGTACATGATGGATTAGCTTTAGTTTTGTGGCAAATTCTTTGAGCCTGAGATTTGTCAGATCTCATCTAACCAGGAGTTGGGAAGAACATCTCAAAGGAAAACCAAGTGTAGGTCATTCAGTGAATGCCAAGTTCTACCATGAGTAAGATTTGCAGCAGTTTCTCCACATAGCATTAAAGGGCTTGTGCTGCTGAAAGAACACTCTTTCAAGTGAGATGTAAAACTACTGTCCTGACCTCTTATGGATTGTGAAAGAAACTGTGGTGGGTGGGGGGTGGTGGTTGTTTTGTTTTTCATGAGAGTAAATTGTGTTAATCCTGATGCTCTGGTTAAATTCCAGCGTGCAGTGGCTGCATTTGCCTACATAAATGCTCCCAGGAATTCTAGTATATTTCACTCACTTCTCCTAAAAAGCTGTTGTGGTAGAGTAGTGGTTGTTGTGTAGAATAGAATGAGTGCTTTGTTCTCTGCAGAAATTATATTCACTATTTTAATGTTTTACTACTATGTCTTTATTATCATGGTGCACAACATTGATTCATGCGTTTTGCATAAATACAGTGCATATTACTGAATTTTAAAAAGTCATTGTTAATAAAACTAGTTATTGCCCTTTCAATGTGGTCATGACTGGCCCTTTTGTGTAACTATATACAGTACATAAAGTATGCAATAGTGTAAATACAACTTAATGTAATGTCTTCTGAGACTTCTAGTTCAAAAGAAAAAATACCAAGAAGGATTAGGTGATGCTATATGTTTGCTGCTCCCACTGAAATTAAAGTGAATGGAAGTTTTGATATTTAATAGTTCAGGGATTGGGCCCAAATAGCTGCCCAAGTTTTATTTTAATCAAAAAATAAGTTACGTAAACACTTTAGACAAAAGTAACAAATTATTATATTGCATTTGTACTATTTTAAAATAGCCACAGCTTTTCAATACAAAAAAGAAACCCTTCCAGGTTGCTTATGTGACTGCATATGTTAACTTAAAGGTTCAAGAAATGTTTTCTTAAAATAAAATAAAATAAAATAAAATAAAATAAAACAAAACAAAAAACACACACCATAGCACCAAACTTGAAGGAAGTGTTTACACTGGAAACACAGATTAAAAGTGTTGTGTATTTGGTTGTCGAAAAGCTTAATTATGGTGGAACTACAAAGAACAGCTCTTACAGTCCCATCAATCCTTTTGCTATATGGTGTCGGAAATGCTTTGGATTTTAGAGTGCAGATCTGAGGTGTTCTCACTTCAAAAGTCTTCAGGAAGTTTAATTCCTAACTACATTGTAAGTCCCCTAGAATAGTTTTACAAAGGGTGTAGAAGTGTGAATATATTTTGACATAGAAAAAAGAGAAAGTAGTCTTACATTTCTAAAAATTCTGTAAATACAGTGAAAGAAATCCTAAAATTTGTATATATTGGAGAACTCAGAATTTGTGCTGTCAATTAATCACAGTTAACTCACGTGATTAACTCAAAAAAATTAATTGCAATTAAAAAAAGTTAATTGCAATTAATCACACTGTTAAACAATAGAATACCAATTGAAATTTATTAAATATTTTTGGATGTTTTTCTACACTTTCAAATATATTGATTTCTGTTACAGCACAGAATACAATGTACAGTGCTCACTTTATATTTTATTACAAATATTTTCACTGTAAAAATGATAAAAGAAATAGTATTTTTCAACTCACCTCATACAAGTACCGTAGTGCAATCTCTTTATCGTGAAAGTGTAACTTACAAATGTAGATTTTTCTTTTGTTACATAACTGCACTCAAAAACAAAACAATATAAAACTTTAGAGCAGGGATCAGCAACCTTTGTCTCACAGTCTGTCAGAGAAATCCGCTGGCGTGCCGGGACGGTTTGTTTACCTGCAGCGTCTGCAGGTTCGGCCGATCGCAGCTCCCACTGGCCGTGGTTTGCCATTCCAAGCCAATGGGGGCTGCAGGAAGCAGCAGCTAGCACATCCCTCGGCCCACGCCGCTTCCCGCAGCCCCCATTGGCCTGGAACGGCGAACCGCGGCCAGTGGGAGCTGCGATCGGCTGAACCTGCGGACGCTACAGGTAACCAAACCGTCCAGGCCTGCCAGCGGATTTCTCTGACGGGCCGCATTCCAAAGGTTGCCGATCCCTGCTTTAGAGCCTACAAGTCCACTCAGTCCTTCTTGTTCAGCCAGTCGCTAAGACAAACAAGTTTGTTTACATTGACGGGAGATACTGCTGCCTGCTTCTTATTTACAATGTCGCCTGAAAGTGAGAACAAGCGTTTGCATGGCACTTTTGTAGCCGGCATTGCAAGGTACAGTATTTACGTTCCAGATATGCTAAACATTCCTGTGCCCCTTCATGCTTTGGCCACCATTCCAGAGGACGTGCTTCCATGCTGATGATGCTCGTTTTAAAAAAAAAAAACACGTTCATTTAATTTGTGACTGAACTCCTTGCGGGAGAATTGTATGTCTCCTGTTCTGATTTACCCACATTCTACCATATATTTCATGTTATAACAGTCTAGGATGATGACCCAGCACATGTTCGTTTTAAGAACACTTTCGCAGCAGATTTGACAAAACGCAAAGAACTTACCAATGTGAGATTTCTAAAAATAGCTACAGCACTCGACCCAAAGTTTAAGAATCTAAAGTGCTGTCCAAAATCTGAGAGGGACGAGATGTGGAGCATGCTTTCAGAAGTCTTAAAAGAGCAACATTCAGATGCGGAAACTACAGAACCCGAAACACCAGAAAAGAAAAATCAGCCTTCTGCTGGTGGCATCTGACTCAGATGATGAAAATGAACATGTGTCAGTCCGCTCTGCTTTGGATCGTTATTGAACAGAACACATCATCAGCATGGATGTACATCCTCTGGAATGGTGTTGAAGCATGAAGGGACATATGAATCTTTAGCGCATCTGGCACGTAAATATTTTGCGACGCCGGCTACAACAGTGCCGTGTGAACGCCTGTTCTCACTTTCAGGTGACATTGTAAACAAGAAGTGAGCAGCATTATCTCCTGCCAATTGTAACCAAACTTGTTTGTCTGAGTGATTGGCTGAAGTAGGACTGAGTGGACTTGTGGGCTCTAATGTTTTACATTGTTTTATTTTTGAATGCAGTTATTTTTTTGTACATAATTCTACATTTGTAAGTTGCACTTTCATGATAAAGAGATTGCACTACAGTACTTGTAATGGGGAAATTGAAAAATACTATTTCTCTTGGTTTTTTAGAGTGCAAATATTTGTAATAAATATAAAATGAGCACTGTACACTTTGGTAGTCTGTGTTGTAATTGAAATCAATATATTTGAAAATGTAGAAAACATCCAAAAATTCTTAAATAAATGGTATTCTATTATTGTTTAACAGCGCGACTTTCGATAGGAATTAGGTGCCTAAACGTTGTTTATGTCTTTGAAAATCTCCCCCTTATTTTAAGTAGGAAAAGAAGTTTCGTTTGACCTTATGATAACTAACTCCACTTCAGCCATGGCATGGTCCCTACTTTAGAGAGCTTTTAACATGTTTTATGTTAGATGGTTGTCATACTGGGGCAAAGTCCTGGATAAAGTGATGTAGGCTAATGTAATGCCAACTTCTTTCCTAGACAAGACAAGGTCCCAGAGGCCTTCCTGTGACGATAGAGAGGCCATTATATTTTGAGGCCTCTCAGTTTGAGAATATAAACTTGGTGAAAATATGAACTCAATACCTTTTTAGAAATTGATTCTTGGTATACCTGAGTGTCTAGAAAACTTCTTTCAGAAACTTCAGTGGCAGCCTGATGGTAGCTGTATACTTTATTTTCATGAGGAGACTTAGCTGCACTTGTCCTAGTTGGGAAAAGTACCAGTTACACTGTTTTTCCTTTGCCCCACAGGACTTTGAAGAAGGATGTTTTCTGCTTACAAAATGTGATGTAATTCAAGTGACTCCCCAGGAAATCTTAGTTACAGAGAAAGGAAATTCTGTAGCAGTTTTTTTGGCAGCTCTGTTCAGGCCTTTTATGGAAGGTTACCAGGTACACAATTCTTCACAAAGTTCGCACCTACTCTCTCCTGTCCCCCACCCATAAGTTCTATGGGGAATGGCATGAGTCATGGTTCTTCTATGGTAGAAACACTAAGTGTTAGCATGGGTGGGAGTGGAAGGGAGAAGATACATAGCAGTAGTAAGTTTTATCTAATGATGTGAAGAGATTGGTTCCCTCTCATGACACAGATTTTAAAAAAAATTTACAGGGTAATTAACTTCTTATGTGGTAGTGCTAAGGTTCTTGTGACAGGCTAGTTGGAGCTGTGGTATCTTTTATATAAGTGAATCTGCATGTGAGGGTTGGTGTTCTGGCCCTGTGAAGTGCAGTTTATTTAAGAAGAGCAATCCAGAGCAACAAACACCTTGTCCTGTTTAGGTCCCAGCACAAATAGCAGCCAATTCAAAAAAATAAATGAGTAAGTTTTCAGCCAAAAGAGGAAAGGTAGGCTCCGTGGTTCCCTTAGCTCTAGCCCCCTCCCTAGCAAATCATTCCCTCTGGATTTATAAAGCTCACTTCTCAGGGAATCTGTTGTTAATGGGCTAATTGTCAGTCCTTAGAAGAAGGACTTCTTTAGCATATATAAGTGGATAGTATGCAAACTGCAGAAGTTGGTTGTATGTTTGGCCAAAGCCTGCGTGGGAATTCTTCACCCTGTCAATGTCTATTTTAATTCTACTCCCGTCCCACGAAGCCTACCAAAACAAAATAACTCTTTACACTTCTTAAATAAAATAAATATGCTAGAAGAGGATAGCAAATTCCCACCACTGTGTAACCATGTTAGTTATTGGCTAGATCATAGTGGCCAGGGTCATAAGAACATAAGAATGGTTATACTGGGTCAGACCAAAGGTCCATCTAGGCTAGTATCCTGTCTTCTGACAGTGGCCAATGCCAGGTGCCCCAGAGGGAATGAACAGAACAGGTAATCATCAAGTGATCCATCCCGTCGCCCATCCCCAGCTTCTGGCAAACAGGCTCAGGACGCCATTGATGGACCTATCCGCCATGAATTTATCTAGTTCTTTTTTGAACCCTGTTATAGTCTTGGCCTTCACAGCATCCTCTGACAAGGAGTTTCACAGGTTGACTGTGCATTGTGTGAAAAAATACTTCCTTTTGTTTGTTTTAAACGTGCTGCCTATTAATTTCATTTGGTGGCCCCTAGTTCTTGTGTTATGAGGAGGAGTAAATAACACTTCCTTATTTACTTTCTCCACCCCAACATGATTTTATAGACCTCTATTATATCCCCTCTTAGTCGTCTCTTTTTCAAGCTGAAAAGTCCCAGTCTTATTAATCTCTCCTCATACGGCAGCCATTCCATACGCCTAATCATTTTTGTTGCCCTTTTCTGAACCTTTTCCAATTCCAATATATCTTTTTTGAGATGGGGCGACCACATCTGCACGCAGTATTCAAGATCTGGGCCTATCATGGATTTATAGATAGGCAATATGATATTTTATGTCTTATTATCTATCCCTTTCTTAATGATTCCCAACATTCTGTTTGCTTTTTTGACTGCCGCTGGACGTTGAGTGGATGTTTTTAGAGAACTCTCCACAATGACTCCAAGATCTTTCTTGAGTAGTTGCAGCTAATTTAGACCCCATCATTTTATATGTATAGTTGGGATTATGTTTTCCAATGTGCATTACTTTACATTTATCAACATTGAATTTCATCTGCCATTTGGTTGCCCAGTCACCCAGTTTGAGAGATCTTTTTGTAGCTCTTTGCAGTCTGCCTGGGACTTAACTATCTTGAGTAGTTTTGTATCATCTGCAAATTTTGCCACCTCACTGTTTACCCCTTTTTCCAGATAATTTATGAATATGTTAAATAGGACTGAGCCCAGTACAGACCCCTGGGGGACACTGCTATTTACCTCTCTCCATTCTGAAAACTGGCCATTTATTCCTACCCTTTGTTTCCTATCTTTTAACCAGTTACCAATCCATGAGAGAACCTTCCCTCTTATCCCATGACTGCTTACTTTGCTTTAGAGCCTTTGGTGAGGTTCCTTGTCAAAGGCTTTCTAAAAATCTAAATACACTATATCCACTGGATCCCCCTTGTCCACATGATTGTTTGTCTATTGATGGCTCTTCCACTGACTCACTGTTGACCTAGGACAGGTTACTTGACTTCGGTATCTCACTTTCCCCATCTGTGAAATGGATGTTGCTGAAAAGGAATGTCACTTTTGACAGTGAGGCAACTTTTTCAAAGACAAGGACCATAAACCAGTTTCTAATATGATTTATTATTCAGTCTTGTTTTATATACTAAGATTCTTGTTATGATTACCCAAACAATATTAAATTTTTCTAATGCTTTGCATAATATTATATTTGTCAGCCCACTAAAAATATATCTTCCAAATTGATTATTAGGAGGATATGTTATTCCTTTAAAAATATTTGCTTGTAATTAAAGACCAATTCAAGTTACGGAATAAGAGGAAAAGCTCGAACACTTTTTTAAATTTTATTTTTTAGATAATCAGCAGATATCTTTCAAAAGAAACAAAAGAGGCCTTTACCGAAAAGCAGTTTATACTTGGAATCCGTAACTTTGCTTTTCAGCTTCTTGAGACAGGTACGTTTGCTTTGTGTGGTGGTGCTGGTGCTGTGATACCTTACGTGTGTAATAGTTTGAGTGATTAATGGACTTTTAATTGCCCCCTATGCTTTCTCTGTAGGAAGCACTCAGTGTTATGAAGTTTTGTCTTCTGACTTGCAGAAAAATGCCTTGGCAGCTTTTGTGCGCCTAGATGTAGTGAAGAGGATGAAAACGTAAGTAATACAAGAGGCCCTCGGGTTTGCAAGAATATTATTAGTAAAAGTATTTTGCGGGGTCTGGACACAAGTTGGAAGGTAAATGCAGACAATGTATTGTCATTATGAGTCTGACTAGATCCAAGGATGAGATCTAACGTAATTATCAATTGCAATGAGTGGTTATACATTGGAGATACTTCCGTTAGTATATCATAATTCATGTACAGAACCATTGGACTCTTTTTATCTGATATCTTAATGGTTGAACTATAAAATACTAAACAATATATTACAACCCTGATTTTTCTGAACTTGAGCCAACTAAAGTTTGATTATATACACCTCTACCCCGATATAACACAAATGTGGATATAACACGGTAAAGCAGTGCTCCGGGGGGGGGGCAGGGCAGGGCTGCGCACTCCAGTGGATCAAAGCAAGTTCGATATAATGCGGTTTCACCTATAACGTGGTAAGATTTTTTTGGCTCCCGAGGACAGCATTATATCGAGGTAGAGGGGTACCCCCCCAGTGTCATACTGAGTCACAAAGTTGGCACCTTCTTTGTATGCGCCAGTTCCCCAAATATGGCATCTCTTCATTCTATATTAGGATTATGGGATCTGAAATACAGAATTTACAAAGTTCACTAGATGGCTTCTAAATCTTTTGACCCCATTGCTTTTTTATCTTGAGGTTTGAGGTGTTTTCCCCCAAGACCTTTGGATAAACAGGATTCTGCTCTGTTTGCGTAGATTGTTTGTAACACACTTTAAAATAGCTAGGTTTTTTTAATCTCCTTTTTATTAAAATGGAGACACAAATTACTGTTACAGGCAATGTAGTAAACGGCTCATTCTGACTGTACCATAGTGTTGACTTTTGCTTTAGCATTGCAAGTTAAATGAATTTAAGCTACACTGTCTAACATTTCTAGTTATGAATAAATACTAGGGTTAACTGATAAAATATGAAACCAGCTAATGCTATAAAAAATAGTGTGTGTATACACATAAATGTGTTCATATTTTATAAATTCCGAATATATTATGGATCTTCCTATGGTATTAGTTAGTAGGGCAAACAGTTTGCAATGAGCAGATTACCTGGCAAATTTAGCCCTTTTCCCTTTTATGAATAGTCTGTTAATAGACACATTTTTACAAACTTGCATACTAGTCACAGTTGACCAAATGATGTATCCAATTTATTGTGAATAATCGGTCTTTGTTCTGCGATCTTAGTTGTGTGCTATGTTAGTTCTTTGATTGGGTGACCTTCTAGCTCAAACACTCAGATTTCAATCAAGACTACCAACAGACTACTGGTGGGAACGCTAGTGTAAAATAGGGATGCTTTCCTACATCACTGGGGTGTTGAGGATGAATTAGTTAAGACTAGTAGAGCACTTTGAATACATCAGTTGCTATTGTGGTATCAGCCTTTCCACAGCACCTAGCTGTGATGTTACAAAAATAGCAACAAAGAGTCCTGTGGCACCTTATAGACTAACAAATGTATTGGAGCATAAGCTTTCGTGGGGGAATACCCACTTCGTCAGACTGCTTTTTACAGATCCAGACTAACACGGCTACCATTCTGATATGTTACAAAAATAAACTTTTATGAGGCACATCCTCAGCTGAGGTAAATTGGTGTAGCTCCATGGAAGTCAGTGGTGCTATGATAATTTACACTAGCTCAAGATCTAACTTGATTTCAGATGGGTAGTTAAAACTCATATAATAAAACAACAGGGGAAGGGAAATACAGGAGAAAAAATATGGTCTAGAAGCATACCTATCCCTCTGTAGTAGGGCTTTTTCAAAGAGCATCTGTGATGCGTCAGCAGACCTTTTAGAGCTGATTATGTGCGTAAAATTGATGGAGGAAGAATAATGAAAATATTATTTGCTCCAGATAACTTGAAGTGTTATCCTTTTTTTAAAATTCATTTTCCCATCCCAAAAGAATAACGGCTTTATTACTGTTTTTTGTTGTTTTTTTCCTTATCCAGGACCAATGGATTTACTTACACTGTAAACAAAGAGGCATTCAATAAAACAGCAGAAATGTTTGGTAAGTGTATTTCTTATTGGTATACTAGTTAAACATGTATTTATGGGGAGACTTTCAAAGTCACAAAGAACAGTTACATACCTAATTCCCATTGAAAGTCACATTATGTCTGGTATCGCATTACAATATATGCAGTAAAAATACTAATGTGAGATCTGAATGAAAAATAAGCTGTTTTTAAAATGTTCTTGCTTGCATGATTAACTCCAGCTTTCATTGGACGTAGCCTTCTAATCAATGTATGTGCTTCTCTTTCATCCTTAGATTCTCGGATACCCATAAGGAAACTTGTGACTGCAAGACTTTAATATTAATTAAAAGGCTTTGAATTACTTGACTGTGTGCACTATAATCCGCAAAGAACACTGACAAGTACTCAACTGGAGTATGGCTAGGTACAGAAGTATACATCTTGCCTTTTCCATTTGGGAATTTTCATATGTATTATACTAGATGGCGGGCAAAGGTTGTTCAATTGGAATATTTTCATTACCAGTACTGAACTTTGTCAGTACTGATGCTTACTGTGTTCCTTTTTAAACTAAATTTAATCATCTTTTTGGATACATATTTAAGGGGAAAAAATGCACAGAAACATCTACTTTAAATACTTTTTTAGTTTTGTTACAAGGAAATGTTTTGTTTCAAATAGGTTATTTCATCAATGTGAAACTATAATTGAGAACTAAAGACTTAACATTAAACATAATATTTAGACAAAAATGTTGCTGGTTGTCGTATCTATGTTATGGCCATTGTGCTCTTCTTTCATAGAATAAATGTCCTGTAACTGCCAAAATCCTGCTTCTCTCTTTATCACTTGTTTTATAACTTGATTTGTATTTATTTTTATGTGCAGCTGGGACTACCAAGTATTTAGCTTCTGCACAAAATCTGCCTTAGCATTTAAAACTGAGTTTAAAGCAGTTTGCGCTGTTTTCAATTGTTAAAATATTGGTATCAATACTTATTCTGCGATGCCTTGTTGTTTCTTTGTGAATGAGGCTTTATAAATGCATTTTGTCAGTGTTACTGTTCTTCTCAACTACCGTGTGATCTGTGTGTATACTGTGTAAATAGATATGTATATTCTGGTACCACCACCACCACCTGTTAAGGTGGCGTTTGTATCAGGGATGTGTCTTGCTGTCCCATGAAAATCTGCCTACATTTGGCTTAGTTTTAAGCTTTTGGAAAAAAAATCTGTTCATACGTGCTCAATACAGACTTGCTACAGTTTCTTTAAGTTCCCTAAACATTCTGGGCATGCTCCAGCCAGAGCTAATCAGAACTTCCCCTGCAGTTTTAGTTCTGGGCTGTTCTGGGCCACATTGGTTCTGGGTCTAGGCACCAGAACGGAAAGGATAGAGATTTCCTCTCCTTACTGGGCCTGGCAGTGTAAAGGAGGAAGGCGCCTTATTTGAATTCAGAGGGGACAAGAGGTGGACCAGGAGTAGGGGAGTAGATTGGGACAAAAAGCCTGGAATGTAACCAAGATCCTGAGTCTGACCATTCTTCTGCTGTCAGTAAATATCTGTGCACCTCACTGCTAAAGTGTCTCATCCCTCTCTAGGACTGGTCCACAGAGAGGATGACAATGCTCCTTTAGCTCAGTGGGTTCTAACCCAGCTGATGACCATTTGGGGTGTCAATATGATGATTGACTGATCAAATATTTTTTTTTAAAACCCTAGGGAATTACCCCCACCCTCCCACCCACGCCTACCCCTATCCCTGAACAGTAATGCTGCACAAACACTCAAATTAGGGGGGGAAAGGCACTAGCCACTTTAATTCTGGCATTTCCTAACTTGAGTGTTTAATTTTTGTGTGCATAGTGAGTTTTACTATATCTCTGTATCTAAAATTTTCTCTGCTACAGGTGTTGTGTATCAGCTGACTGCTACCCTTGAGTTAACTGCATGTCACTGGGGGAGTGGAGCTTGTAGTTTGAGGTTTTATTTAAATGAAGAGCATGGTACATGTAAAACTAATTGCATAAACATCCACGTATGTAGCAGGTAACTAACGTGTAAAAGGTGTAGGATGTGTACATGGAAGTTGCGATAGGACGGCGTTCTAAACCTTTTTCTTTGAGGCCCCCTGAAATCAGCCCTCCCCTGCCAGGAGCTGGGTCTGGGGCAACAGCAACAACCCCTCCCCGTTCCTGGGGCACAGCTTGCTTTGATGATGGCTTCCATGGGCTGGATTATGGGGAGAGGCGGCTCCGCCGTCGAGTCTGACACTGGAGCAAAGAAACAACAAGCGCTTCCCCCGAGCCTGGGGAACGCGCTGCCGGACACGACGGAGCAAATCCGCCGCGGCCCGCGCTTCCGGAGCTTGACAGGGGCCCGTGCTAATTGCAACAGCGCGCACTTCCGGTATGGGAGCTGATCGGACGCGTTTCGCATCCTCACTTCCGGTATGGGAGCTGGTGGGACGCGTTTCAGCACCGCGCACTTCCGGTATAAGAGCCGGTCGGACAACTTTTGGCACCGCGCACTTCCGGTGCACGCGTGTTGTGTTGGCCGCGCGCATGGGGTCGCGCGTGGAGCTGGGGTTCGCGGAGGAGGCGGCCCCGTGGCGCCTGAGCAGCGCCCAGTTCCCCAGCAAGGTGGGGGGGCGGCCGGCGTGGCTGGGCGAGTCCGGGCTGCCGGGCCCCGCCGAGCTGCGCTGCGGACGGTGCGGGCGGCCCTGCGCCTTCCTGCTGCAGCTCTACGCGCCGCTCCCCGGCCGCCCCGACGCCTTCCACCGCGGCCTCTTCGTGTTCTGCTGCCGCGGGCCCGCCTGCTACCGGCCCGGGGCCCAGGGGCCGCTGCGAGGTGAGAGACCCGCCCCGTCCCGCTCCGCGCCACCACAGCCCCGGGCTGAGACCCCCCCCCGGCACCTGGGGGGGGCTGCCCCCCCCCCCACCGCCCCCCCCGCGCGGCCCCCACGTCCCCCCCCCGGGGGGCCCCTATCCCCCCCCCCCCCCCCACCGCTCCCTCCACAGATGATTCCCCCTTAGTGATGTGTAAACTCTTTGGGGGTAACGTCTGTGCTGCCTTTGTACAGCGCCTAACACGGGGGGCCTGTCCCCTTGGTAGGTTTCCTAGGTGCTACCACCGTGCAAAAAAGAATAACCCAAACCATCACTCGTAGGACTTTTGGGAACTGCCCTATGCTGCTGATCAATGGACAAATGGCGTTTGGTCCATTCACTCCTGTGTTTCTTTCAAGTTTTTAGGAACCAGCTTCCGAGAAAGAATGACACCTATTCCTATGATCCACCACCTGAAACGCCCCCTCCTGAAGGGCATCCCCCTGTGGGCCTGCACCTTCAATGTGGAGCTCATCTATGCAGAGTCTGTGGCTGTTTAGGGCCAAAGGCATGTTCCAAATGTCACAGGGCCCATTACTGTAGTAAAGATCATCAAACTGTAGATTGGAAATTGGGACACAAACTATCTTGTGCGCAGTCAGGTGAGTTAAGTGGAATTTAAAATAAACCTGGGAAAATTCTGTCTGGAAGATAAAGCAATGCTGCTGCTGCTTGTTTTCTTTTTTTGCCTTTTATATTTTAAAGAGAACTTCTTAAAATGTAGTGCAGTATGGAACAAAAGTATGATGCAAGTCCAACAAGAGTTACTTACATTCTTAATAATCTAGCAGGGGAAGAGTCAACCATTATTCTTGTTCCTTTTGCTAGAGATAGTACATTGCACAGGAGAAATAACACTAATCTGTATTTCCTTCTAAATTGACTAGAAGATCATGTCCACATCTTTATTATGCCATAAAACTCCGTAAACAATTATGAAAAATCAAAGGCTGTATTGTTTTAGTATAAAGAGAATACTAAGTTTTGATTCTATTTGTAGGACAAATTCAATGATAATGGGATGTCTGTGGCTTCAACATATTTCATGGTTAACACAAGGGTTAAGTTCCTTTTGCAGTCCAAAACTGAACTGCATTCACCATGTTGGGAAGTAATTGTTAATGTAAGAGATGAGAGTCATTAGGTGAACTTACCTCATATAAAATGGTAAGGGTCTAAGTGTATTTAATGAATCATGTCTATACATATATATCACACAGTAGTTAGTAATCTATATAAGCAAGTGCATAATCAGTATGAATATAGGCCTGGTTTAGTTTGGTTCATTAGACCTTGGAATAACCCTTTTTGGGGAAAGGAATGCAAAACAATGTTTTTGGCTTACTAAATATCCTGTTATTTCACTTCTTGAAATGTTCCTGATATTTGAGTACAGAACAAGGATGAAGTAACAATGAGAGGGTCACAATTTCCCCCGCCAAATATAATCAGAATAAACAACGAAGTCCCTGTTAAATATTAAGATTGTTTTGTTGCTAATAAGTAGATAAACTCATTATATAACCTAGTGTGTAATCTTATATTTGGTCATAGATATTGTTAATCATTATTATGTAGTGATTTGAAGAAGAAGGGTGCTGATAGAAAGTAAGGTGGCATGGGTATAAAAATGTGTATGCAGACTGAAGTCTTTGCCTTTCACAACCTTGTCTGTATATACTCAGCCAAGTCACTGGCCACATGTACCTCAGCAGATCACTAGGATATGGCACTTTGTATCCATGCTGAAATAAACCTGTTCCTTAGATCTGAACTCTGGAGTTAGCAGTGGTTTTGTCTGCTACAGCCGACAATGGCTGCCTGCTTTGCAAGGTGACCTGTGGGCATGGTTGGTGGTCCAGAAAACATCCTTGCAGTTATAAGCATTTGTAATGTGGAAAGAGAGCTTTGTGAAACCTGGGTGTAACAATAGAGCAGGGGTCGGCAACCTTTCAGAAGTGGTGTGCTTTATTCACTCTAATTTAAGGTTTCGCATGCCAGTAATACATGTTAACGTTTTTAGAAGGTCTCATTCTAGAAGTCTATAATATATAACTAAACTATTGTTGTATGTAAAGTAAATAAGGTTTTTAAAATGTTTAAGAAGCTTCATTTAAAATTAAATTAAAATGCAGAGCCCCCCGGACTGGTGGCCGGGACCCAGGCAGTGTGAGTGCCACTGAAAATCAGCTTGCGTGCCGCAGGTTGCCTATCCCTGCAATAGAGCATGGCTTATCTGAGATCTGAATTGGTTCATTTAATTGTAATAAATGATTTAGAGTAGGACGATGATAAACAACAGCACTGCAAACAAAGACAAACAAATTCAGCTAAAGATTTTTTTTTTTTTAATTGCTTGGCCTTGCATAAATTGTATTTGTTAAAGAAAATATGCAAAATAGTAATAATACTGGTACTGCAACCAAAATAACCTAGAACTGTTGAAGAAGTCAGTATTATTGTTGCAGAAGTAACAAAAACTAAACTTTTTTCAACTCGTCAAAATGTCTTGGTTGGTGGTTTAATGACTTGCAAAGGAAAGAAAATAAGTCTGTGCCTTGTGCTGCTTTATGGCTTATAAAGAAGGCATGAATAGAATCCTAGAAATGTAGGGCTGAAAGGGAACTCGACAGGGCAAGTCCAGCCCCCTGTGCTGAAATAGGGTAACCCTAGTCTAAGATTACTTGGTCCTGCCTCAACAATCAAAAAAGGGGGGG